TAGGGGCCCCCTCCATGCTGAAACACATGAAACAAAATTCTTTATTACAATGTATCAAAAAGGTTACCAATGACCAACAATGTAGCACTAATGACAAAATCTGTACACTACCTGTGAATAAGATTAGAAAAATATCATTTTCTACCAGCAAAAGTCTTTCCCCTTTCTAACAGGTTTAAACTTCGAAACTTTTCTAAAATTGCAGTCACTTTAAACAGGCAATCTACTGACTCACAGATACACAATTAATGACCTTTGTATATCTTTTCATTTTTTAAACTTACATGCTAAATAAGGTGTAGAAGAATGGTTGAAATAAGTAAAGAAATCACTTAGACCAGGTAGATGAGGTCAAGGTTACTGCACTCTTAGAAATATTACCAGAGAGAAACAAAAGAATTCAGATTTGTCAACTTTTAATAACAAGCATATTATCCCCATCACCAGACTCCCTCACACACAAGATAAAATCAACAGGAGACCCACCACTACAGGATCTGGTTACTATCACTGAGCTGTTCAGATACAGAAAAGTGGTCAAATCCCTGACCACAAACTTAGTTTTGTTTCCAGACAGTAAATACTGAGACAACAAAATCAGTGTACTGAAAGTCAGCATCAACCATGAACTGTGGCTTTTATGTGAGGAAGTAATCTGCTCTTATAGGACATGACAGAATTGTGGTGACACATTTGAGGCTCATTAATTATTCTCTAATTGAGAGATGATAAAAGCATGGTACTCAGTGATTCTATTTCAACGTATGTAAATATTTTAATCACATTTAATACCACACCATGTTATTGATTGCTAGTGGTTGTGGGATGACATGACTTACACCGTGACATGGCAATTTTTATTTCATCTTTTTTCTCAGTTCAAATTCTGATGCAATGATATACTGCTTACTTGTTTAAATGCAAAAAGAATATGACAGTAGTGATTATATTCCCGGTAATTATATTATTCATAATTTTTAGGGTATATTTTTTTGTGCATCACAACCCCTTAGATCACATCTTATTCATGTTGAACACATTCAGTCTCACCCAGCACAACTTCAGCAAACACAATCAGTATCTCACCTAACACAATCAATTTTAGCAAACTCAATCAGTGTCTTACCTAACAGTTTCCACAGTGACCCCACAGTTCACCACCGTTTGATGTCATACAAAGTTTGAATTTCAAGTTGAATCCAGATGAACATCATGGTTAGGATGGAGCCTATTGATTTTCATAAGGCTCATGTTAATTGGCAATTAAAAAATCTGCATTTTTTTTATGTAATCTCATCAAAGTCTTGTTTCCAAAAGATTGGTTCCCAGATTATCTGATAGAAATAACACAAAAAGGGTAACATAATTACCTTTTATGAAATCAAGTGCTCTGAGGATTCTTGCACTTTTGTCAAAAAAGAATATTCACTGCATTTTTATTAAAAATAGTCAAAATAGGATGTTTTTCCACAGTAAATTCCAATACATGTTTCTACGTATAATAATAATAATAATAACAATAACATTGTCTTTCAGCTTCAATCAGACTGATGTTAGCTGTTGTTACTGAGAACAACATCACCAGAGTTACAGTCTGATGAAAAAGAAAAATACACTAAGGATGAGACTGTGAGAACTGTTTATTCAGCAGTTAGTCACATCACTGACTTAGATCCCATCCCCATACCTATATCGATCTAGCAGGATTAACCCAACTCTGAGGGGATTCTCTCTTAATTCCATTCAAATTGAGCTACTAAACGATAGTTAATTACCCCTTAACAGCTTCAGTAGGCATGCCAGACACAAGAGCAAAAGCTGAATGTAATTTAGCGAAAAAAACCCTTGGGGATGGGTCGAGTCTGCTATATTGATCTAGGTACGGGATTGGGGTCTTAAGTCTATCCACAAAAAAAAAAAAAAAAAAGAAAGAAAAAAAAATCCACTTTCACATCAAAATAGACTGTAGTTATGCTTCTATTACCATCACACAGTGATAGTCCATTATATTGTTTGGGACACTGCTAAGATTTGGTTGAAGATCATAATTTTAAATAAATAATAAAATGGGAAATAAAAACCAGTGCCAGTACCTCAGAACAAACTGGAGCAAAAGGTGCTCTGTATTTCTTCCTGCAATATGATACACAATCATGTGATTAGTGCCATTAACATAGAAATATATGTAATTGTACTTATATGTCATATACAGGAAATTCAGGAGCCACAGTGCGATTGTAAAGTGGATCTGTAAAGTAATATATAAATAAATAATGAATTATAATAACATAATGAATATGCTAAATGCTGATGGCAACTTTCATATTATAGCTGGACTTCTGAGGGAAATTTTAACATTTAAAATAAGAGCACCAAAAAGTTTTAATTTTGGCACAATTTTCATCATCATAACCAAAACTAGAAAAGCACTCAGAGAGCACAGACCTCCACCAAGGCAGCAAAGTCTCCATCCAATGCTGTTTTACCCCTAAATGTGCATTCTATAATGATTTAGTTTTTTTTTTATTTTTGATTACTGATTATTGATTGATTTTTTTAATTTTGATTGATTATTGATTGATTATTGATCCAGATCACCACCAAAAACTAATCATCTGTTCCTTGGCCCACTTCTGACAGTTCCTGAAAATTTCATCAAAATCGGTCCATAACTTAGTTTTTTTTTATTATTGATTATTGATTTATTATTGATCTGGATCACCACCAAAAACTAATCACTTCTAAGTTAAGCCATTTCTGACCTACCCTGAAAATTTTTGAGTTATGTTGATGACAAACAGACAGACAGAGAGACAGACAAACAGGGGTGAAAACATAACCTCCTTGGCTGAGGTAATTAAAGCCATCATAAAAATAACAATCAAGGTGACAGCCAACTAATTAGCTCCAATCCCTGGTGGACAACCTGACAATTCATTAACAAATAGTAACGATTAGTAAAGTTTGGTCATCAGTATCATTAACCAAGCTGCTTTTAGCTAGCATTACATACTGTTTTTATATCAATGTATTTCTTTTGAAAGACTACGTATTTCCTGTGTTAACTTGCATCCAGAGTTGTTTCTAGAGTGTACTGCTATGAGTTGAGCATTTTAGAATGACCCTTAATGTACCATTCCTGTAGGACTTCATTCCACTACATCATGCATGAGAGAAGTTGACATAGTGGCTGGGGATCATGGCCTGTATCTTTTCCATAGTTGACCTTTCCAAAGAAGATAAAAACCTTTCCAAAGAAGATAAAAACTCAAGTGATCCAACCCCTGCATCTAGTTTATTGTCAACCTCTGTAATGGCAGGTTCCGTGAGAGCAATAACAAAGTAGTTGACATTGGATATAGTTCCTCATTGTAACACACTGTTTTACTCAATATTTCATGTGATTACACCTTCTATAGGACACTACTGGACACAAAACTCCAAACACCAGGGGTTGTTAAACAAAGGTCTCCCAAACCCAAATTCCCACTCTCATCCAATCTTTGATTTTCTTAAACTCATTCACACTAAGTGAGATAACAAAACAAAGTTGATTTGTAGAACATATTTCATTGCACATAACACATAGTTGACTGCGTGACCAAGTCACATCATTTGGCAATATCAATGAATAGATTCATTTGCTTCATGAAAATACTGTTCAACATTCAAACAATGAGTAAGATGCTGTCACATTTTATGTATTCTTTTTCTTTAGTACACAAGCAACATATTTACACTCACTGAGATCTCTCTCTACAACATGAATCTCCAATGGTACCCCATGGTACCTTCCCAAGGTACCGTACCTCATGGTACCTTCCAATGGACCTCTATATGCCAAGTGTGTACAGTAAAGTGGTCATAAGCTGTTGTTAAAATTAATACACAGCTTTGCTACAGTGCATGTTCATTTTAATGAAAAGCAGCTCATTTAGATAGCATGATCAAATACTAGACTTTTTTTAATTGTTTGATTGTCTCAACCATATGAAACCAATTTCTGTGGACACATGCATGCAAGTTAACTGATAATAACAATTCAACAGTTTTCATCTCCTGTGCATTTACAAAATTCAGATCTTAAATATTGGTCCTACTGAAATGTTTGTAAAGATGTAGGTGTTTGATTTGCCCCACATTACGACAATCCTTACAATACAGAATGGCAGAATGGAATGATTTGGACTGCTTTGCTTACAAAAACATTTTTCTCAACTGGTAGTTTTGAATTTTGAATAATGGGTCATAGCTTTATCCAATATTCAAAATTTATCCATTATGCACAGTATTAAAATTATCACATTCTCACGGAGCTGATATTGTTTAAGAAGGACAGCAAACATGAGCAGCACACTGATCAGAACCATTTCCATGGATCTTAGTCTTGGACACAATCTCACCAGGTTCCTGGCACAGCAAGCACAATCACTGGTACAGCAGATGTCACAACTAACACAATCTAATCTGTCTTAGCCAAGGCAACCACAGTGAAGTGGATATTATCTGGATCCCTTGCCATGAACTTCTTCACCACTGCTGCAGCATCCTGAGCAAATAAAAAAATAAGCAGCTTATTATCAACGAACTAGAGAAAATTTCCTCATCTGCAGTTTAGACTAGATTAATGACTCACTTCAATATCATGCCACAATCCCTCTTCTATAACAAAAGCGGACATGAAAATCCATGCTTTCAGACCTACCAATATCTCAAGTGTCTAATTAAGAATTTTCTTACCATCCATTAATACAAACCAAGTTGAAAAGAATAAAAGTGTCCTTAACATAATTTATTATTTCACATGCAAACATCAATAAAATCATGTCTTAATTCATAACTAATAACAAACCAATTACCTCAAGTAGAGTATCTGCAGTAGTGTTGCCATGACGCTTGGGAGCATTTTTACGTCCATCTGCATAAGAAACAAAAAATCCAATGAAATCTAGTAAGCATCTAGATGGACGATTTACCATTATGAACTCAAATTATGAACTTTTTATGTACCTGTTATCAATACATTGCAATTTTTGCTGCAAAGAATCTGACTGAAGTTTGTCAACATTTAGCAATCAGATTATCCGTATCACCATGCTGAACACAATGTGGTTCTCACCTAACGCAATCAGAGGCTCAGTTAGGTAACATTGTCTCAACTGTCACAATCAAGGTCTCACCTAACGCAATCACAGGCTCAGTTATAACACTGTCTCAACTGTCACAATAAGGGTCTCACCTAACGCAATCAGAGGCTCAGTTATAACACTGTCTCAACTGTCACAATCAGGGTCTCACCTGTCACAACCAGCACAAAAAAACACAATTAGGGTCTCAGATACCACACTGAAGACAGTGGACCATGTAAAATCATACTACAGTCAGAATCCATGGTGAACACAGATTTTTCATTCATAATACTTCCTTTACTGACGAGTTATATCGCCACATTATAGAACTTACCCAATTCATAGAGACCACCATTATTATGAACAAAGGTCACGAAATGGAGGTCGACTTTTTCATCTATTGGTGGTGGCTAGAATTTTAAATAAGGCATATTAATATTAACAGGACTGTTATTTTTCAAGTAAAAAATACAGGTAGTTAAATCATTCACCGAGCACGTCTATCTTGCGAACTGGTGTTACAAATTAAAGTATGCTGAACAAAAAAACAGATTTCTGTTATCCCATGGCAAATATTTTCATATACAATACAGTAAACTGCAGCATTTCAAATCATTCTAGGTTCTGTTGTGCAGTATATATATCAAAAAACCACTAAACACAGACAGATGTATTAATTCCTTAAATGATGTCAAATATACAAGCAGACAAGAAAGAAGGCCATCAAAAGCTTGGCCCCCTATAGTACCTGTGTCTGGCCCTCTTGTGCACTTGCTTCATGGGCTGCTCCTATGTCCTGAATAACAAATAATAAATTATAGTGATCATTTTGCCTGGACACTTTAATCTTAAAATAACATTATAAATAAAAGCATTATCTAAACTTGGTAAAAGAACAGAAATCCTATATTCTCAATACATTACCAAATACTGCATTTGAGGAGATCCAGTTTGTAGATGTTTACTGATGAAAACGTTATGCTAGTTAATATGGGGTGTTTCTATAAAGACATAAAGAGGTGGTTAAACATGGGGCTTTCAAAACGTTGGGAATGAGACCCTTTTTTTTATGAAAACTGTAGACGCCTTGATGAGGACATAATACAATTCTACATCATGATAGAAGTAGTACATTTAAATACACCACTTTGGCAGTGACAATCTTCAATTGAAATAAACACTTGGTTTTAACTTTTATATAACTCTCAGGTAATCATTTCTGTTCTGCAAACATTTTTGGCAACAACAAGCCAGTTAACATAAGACTACTGACTCTCATACTACACATATTGTCATAACCAAAGTCTCTGAAAATTGAGCTCATCCCTGCTAGGAAAGTTGTTATCTATCGTATTCATGTACTTAACTCTTCATTCATATGTTTTCCTCAGTCACATCTTAAAAGGGACAGAGACATATCATGAAGTATTCAAAAATATGTTGACCGAAAAAATGCAACCATCACACCCACATCAGTACTTACTGGGTCTATTTCCAACTTCTTTGCTCTCTCATCAGGACTGATATCTTTGGTTTTGGCTAAGNTCTCTGAAAATTGAGCTCATCCCTGCTAGGAAAGTTGTTATCTATCGTATTCATGTACTTAACTCTTCATTCATATGTTTTCCTCAGTCACATCTTAAAAGGGACAGAGACATATCATGAAGTATTCAAAAATATGTTGACCGAAAAAATGCAACCATCACACCCACATCAGTACTTACTGGGTCTATTTCCAACTTCTTTGCTCTCTCATCAGGACTGATATCTTTGGTTTTGGCTAAGAAGTTAGCTAGAAAGTTGTTACCTCCTACAAAAATATGGAAACTAAAATGTATGCAAGAACAGGAATACAACACAGCCATTATTTTTGCTTGCCAAATAACATGTCAACACTTCCAGACTGAATGCTTGTTCCAAATTAAAATTAAGCAAAATTTAAAAGGATAACAACTGTTCATTTTGGCCAAAAAATGAATTTTTCTGGGGTAAACAACAATTTTCCCACAGTTACCAATGGTTAATGAATCCATTTCTACATTCAATGTTAGTCCCCTTTTTTTCGTAAAAAGTTTTGTTTTTTTGTAATAATCTCTTAAGAGGTTATTACAGAGTATAGCCATCTATGGAGGTCATGTGGTCCAATGACAAGCACAGATTTCAGAATAATTGTCATAAATGCCATTTTTGTGGTAAAATAGAATATATCATATTTTGTCTCCTCATTAACCCAAGCGAAAGGATAAGTAAAGGACAAACACAAATGTAGTGTTCGAAATTTGGTCAGTAGCGTCCCCTTTTATTGAAAGGTCCCTCTAGTAAAGAATGGAGTTAGATATTACATAGCATTAGATAATGTTAATTAGTTAAAATTACGTAATGTTATATCATAAAAATAAATATCAAAACCAATAGTGCAAATATTTTCATTTGTGGGGTTGCAAAGACCAGCACAGATTTCAGAATAATTGTCATAACTGCCATTTTTGTGGTAAAATGGAATATATTATATTTTTATGAGTTGCTTCCAATATATTTATTATGAAATATAGATCTCATACAAAGAGCTGTTACCCCTTTAAATATTTTCCTTTTTAAAGCCAAACTAAATTTCATTCTACCATCAACCTAGCAAGGACCTAAATTGTCCTATTCCATATGACAACTTACCAGCCAAAGTGATTTTGTCAGTGTTATTTGCCAGGGCATGGATCACGCCAATGGTTCCACAGGCATTTCCAATAGTCTGCTTGATAAAGTAGACTTCTTTGTTCTCCTCCTCCACACCCAGTGCTGTAGCCTCAGACTGTGAAGATACAGAAATATAAACCATCTTGAAACTTTTGTTACACATGCAAAGTGATTGTGGTATGTGACTGGAATTTAGATCTTTAAAATATTTAGTTACAGGGCAAAATGGTTAACAAAGCTATGATAAAAATTGCAAAAACAATTCTTTATTCTTTCAGATGAACACACCAAACAGCTTTGTAACAGACCTTCTCAGAAATGGGGTACAATAGTAGAACTGCGGCTACAGGACGGGGCACCATAGTTAACAGATCTGCATCCAATCCAAAGACATCCACAAATCCATAGGGCCCCTGCAGACCCAGCTGCTTAACAAACTGAAGAACAAAAAGTTGACATATATTAATAGACAGTAAGATTGTTATACTGGATCATTTACAAGTGACTAACAGCTTTCTAAAGACAGTAAGTTTAGGTCCTTTCTTATGGCTCGAAACGAACATTTTTTCACAGCGTTTGCAGTGCCATTCTATAGATCAAAATGACCATGACGGGAACATACTGCAATGCACCATCTGATAGAATATGAACAAAAAACACCATCTGATAGAATATGAACAAAAAACAGCTTCTAAAATGTCTTAACAAATAACAGATATAGTAGTAGCTTCTTGCCTACAGATAACATTACTCCAAAAGGCACTAAATTAAATTCTAAATGAAATATTCAATTCAATTTCCCAAATTTTCATTGACTTCATGCAGCTGTATTATCTACTCAGCATATGTCATGTTAGTATTGACTGAAAAATCAATTATTTTTGTTATGAGCTTTTGTTATTAAATGACTACATATATAATAAAAAACACTTCAGACATGTATTGCACAAATGTATTTTTCATGCCATTTAGTTGTATAATCAGAAAGTATCCCAAGACCAGGTTTGTATTGAAGAAAGAGTGCAAGTTTGTACAGACATGTGAAGTACATAAATCACTTCTTGTTGAACTTATCTGAGAATAAGTAAGTTTTTAAACAGATTAATGCCATGAATTAATGTTGCCGTAAGAAATCAAATTTATCACCCTGTGCAGAGCTTGCAACCTTGACAGATTTGAATGGCATGCAACCCATACATTGCACCTCAATGGTATTGCAGAATTTGAAAAGCTTATACTAAAATGTGAGTCAAGGAGATTTTTCATTTTCCCAGAAAGTTACAAAGTTTTGGCAAGTGTTAGCAAAGGAGAAGCAAAGATTGATAAGTCATGGAAAATGTTTTACCGAAGAAAATTTGTTAACATTCAATTATTCGTGGGAAATCTTACTCTGTTCAACATTAAGTAGCATCAGAAGGCTTACATTAAAACCATTCAATATCAGAAGTATAATAAAACTATTCAAAGTAAAAAAAAATCAGCAGAGGCCAAGCGGCTAAACTTGAAAGTCTGTCTTCATCTAATATGCAAGTGCAATTCAGAAATAATCAATAAGCTATATAATGTCATCCATGAGCCATACCCAGTTAACGATGATTTATTATTCAGACATTATTCTCCTTTTTTTCTCAATCCAATACATGCAGCACAAGATCAATACAACAGCACTGTTTATAGCAGAGAATGCTCTGCCAGACTGTACTTGAAAGTGCTATTACTTGCTTCAATAATTTTTTACAACTTTTCTAGATATCGCTTTGTTAATCTTCAAAAGAATGACAATGGTGGGCAATGAAATAATAATAATGATAACATTAAACTGTCAGTTTAGTTTTGGTGGCATAGTGGGGGTGGGAGTGGAAGTGGGAGGGGTGAGGGTTTAAAAAAGAAGGGGGGAGAACCAAAAAAATTGGGTCAGCTAATATGGATAACTATATACCTGTACAAAACAATTACGGTTCTGATAATAAGTTTCCATAACTTCACAGTGAATTTGCTGGTATTATCTAGCAAAATTGTAAATACTGCACAAAATATTATTCAAAGTGCATAAATAAGGACTTCTAATTCTCATCTTCAGGAATTACAGTCATGCATATATACCATAGCTCATCCACAGCTGTATTCCAAAAAACCTGTCATCTACCCTTAATCATTTCTACAAAGTATTCATGTCTTGTTTAGTTCAGAATAAGTCTAGACCATTGCATCATCTGTTCTCCACGTAGCATACATATCCTCAGACAATATTGATTTTTTTTCTGAACTAAAGCATTGCTAGACACTTCTGATTCATCACAATGACGCATTGCTGCATTTGCAGAATTCATGAGAATATCTTTCCACTCATGTTAAAACTGCAGGATTCAAGATAGCAGGGGATCGTCTTACTGCCAAAACATAAACATTATAATGAACATTGTTTCTATTGCAACAAATACCAAATAGCTGGACATATTATATTTGTTTCATGTATCCAGACCTCAGGGCCACACATTAGTTATAGGGCACAACATGGATAACCCACAAGTCTTCCATATAAGCTAGTTCTTATGTTCACAAACATTTCACATGATATGTTTGGCTGTATGTTATAATGAAAATCTGATATAAGTTCATCGCCATAATGTGCTATATCTAGTACACTTCTAGTCATCAATGTTACTTGTAAAAATACAACTATCTGAACAATTTAAGCAAAGTTGTCTCTTCTGCTTCTTTGAACATATAAGAAATCCTGTTATATCAGCCATGCTGAAGTAACCCACACATTCTACTGACATGTTATGTGACATCAACAAGCAGGTATTTGGAAATAACAAGCCAAACATCAATGACAAGATCAGAAAGGTGAATCCCTCAACCCTTTAGCACTTCAATCCTTTCAAAAAGAAAATGTGAACCTTCTGTAGGGCGTCAGGAGTGTTGAACCTGTCACATGGGTAATATTGAGGTTCAGTGCTACATGTGCCGCCTTGCGCCATGTTGGGCTAAAACATGGGCTGATTTTAACACTCGGGGTGGCTCACCTTGTTCATCACCTGAAAGTATCAAAATAAATGGTTTAAAGAGAAAACAAAAAGTAGTCTTAACGTTTAGTTGCATGGTATGCTTATGGTGTATTGGCTTTTTAATTTAACGTCTCGACATTTTCATTTTCCCTAATCGACCTCAACATTGCGGGTGATACTGATTCAGCGCTTTCTTCCAAAGCACTTGCACGTTTTAAAAAGACCAAATGTCCCCACTCCCAGATATTCATACAAGTGTGCATCATATGTTTCTTTACATAGAAACACCCATTTAAGTCTGTTTACTCTTAAATTGACTTACGTCTGGGTTGGACTCCAGAGGTAACCATCTTGGTGCCATGGTTGTGAGTGAAGTATTTCCCGGCTTGATTACCTCTGACCTCTGAATGTGACTTCCGTATCGCAACTAACGCAATGAAGAACATTTACCTGTAACAACAGTGAGTTTTCGTTGCCTGTTGATGACTAGCATTGCCAAGTAAAATGTACTTGTAACTGTAGAGAGTTATGGTACATATTGGCTCTCTACCAACAGGTGAGTATAGATTGTAGTAGAAAAGATCTACACAACCGCTCCATCCTTAGACTTTTACTTGCCAGACTTTAGGGCTACAGCTTTTATTACTCGGTAGATCATTTCCCACACAGTTTCAGGGCCAATTCTCCACTGCGCAGTTTTAGTGTGTGCTAAACATGATCTTCAGTTACAAAGTGGAAAGAAAGTATGCACTAATTACAGACCTACATTTAGTACATGATTGGTGCATGACTTCCAAGCTATTTAACCTGACGTTTTATAGCCTATAATTATAAAATGAGGTTTTTGCCACAAACCCGTATCTTGGAAAACAATTAAGACAACGCTTCTGATAACGTATTTCCATACAATAACAATCAACGCTACAATATACATGTTCTTCAGTTTGTGATACAATGTAATGCAATTAATGAGGCTATTAATCAACACCTATCATCATGTTAAAATAACGATCTCTTTCGTTAACGAGTCCCTCGCAAACAGCGTCTTACGATTGATGGGCTACTAAAAGACTACTACAGGGGCGGATTTAGAGGGGGTCAGGGGGCTCCTGACCCCCCCCCCCCCCCCCCCTCTTCGGTTTCTGAAAAAAAACTCACTTATATCCCCCTCTTGGAATAAGAATTTTGACTAGCTGATTTGCAGTACTAAACCGTACCAAATGGCACCGTTCGCCCTCTAAAATACCAAAAATTTGAATCCGCCCCCCCCCCCCCCTTCAGATAATCTTGGATCCACCCCTGGGCTACTGCATACTGCGCTTACTGAGTACTCTCGTCTCGGCTTACGACTTAATTAGCTTACACTATTAACTTGTATCAATTTGTTTGGTAACTGGAATAAAACTTCTAAACTCAAACGATATCTATATACAGTTGTTGTTTTCTACACTACGGAAAAATATCGCTTTTTAAAATCCTCGGTATACGTAAAGAAGGCATGTAATGTTAGTGGGATCAAGATTTGCATTTTAGTTGTATTTGTTAAAATTCCCCTTTCTTTTTTCCTTCCTTTTTTATCATATTCTTCCCCCTTTTGCTAGAACGATTCACCATTGCACACCTACAGTGACGATATACGGTTTTCTTACTATTTAGGCCAATACCAGTGGTATACCAGTAGTGATGCCCAGGGCGTCCACATATACAGGTGGATATCTTTATTCTGTCCTAAAGTCAATGTCCTCAATTATTCTATGATATGTATTTTTAGCTGATAAGGAAAGAATGTTAAATTCTATATTTCAGAAGTGATGCATGCCGCATGTTAATCATGTTGTGTTCACGGGGGGGGGGGGGGGGGGGNAAAACTTCATGTACCTAGATCAAATGTTACCCAGAGTGGACCTTTTCCCAGCAAAAGGGGCGGGTCTTTCGAACCCCCCGAACCCCCCTGGCTACGGACCTGAAATAGACCCTGTAGGGGGACTCAAGTGCATCCGAAAAAAAAACCTGAGATAATCAAAAGGTAAAAAATCCGTCCTTGAAATAAGTTTTTCAATGAATACAGGACCTGTAATAGGTTAAGTTTTAGTAGATGACGACTGCAATGGGCTAAGATTGGATAAAGAAGGCCAAGACACAAGGATCGAGAGATCTTTTATATTTCACACGGTGACGTCAGGTAGTCTGTTTAGTGTTCAAGTGAGTGTGATCACGCCTTCTAGTTTTTGAGCGGCATCCATGGCAAAGACAACATTTTGTTTGTTTGTTTTTGTCATGAGTAGGCGGTCGGGTGTCAAATGTTTCACAAGCATTTTGGTTTATATCTGTGCATACATTGCAGTGTGGGAGGTACAAAGGGATGTGAATTTTGTCCCTAAACCTGTCATATAGCTATTACTCTCCCCACGCACAGTTAAACCAGTCTGAACAAACTGTCCTTCCATCCTTGACAACTGTCATTAAGGAACGTCACGTGCCGGCAGTTTGACTTCCTATTGGTTAGGATTGGTAATCACAGTCAGAGGCGTGGCACACATTTTTCGCTGGAAGTTTACGTTTCCGGTGTCGTTTTGACGGAGCGAAATCACACTGCCCTGCAGCCAAATGTCAGACGGTTCATATCTACTTAAATATTTAAAACATATCATTCTTTGCCCTTGTAGTTTTTTACAGAAAATCCTTCAAGCGAGCTCCAAGTTAAGAAAAACAGTAGAAAATGTGTTTTATCACTTTCACTTTAATCGACTTGGTTGTATGTTATACAAAAAATGTATATCGTAAAACCACCGTTTTTACCCAGAAAAGTAATTTCTTACCTGAAGAATTTTCGATGCATGATGTTTGTAAAATTACACCAAAACAGAAATCGAGTGCCTCCCCACCGCGTGACATCTGGCCGTCCGTTCACGAAATCGAACAGGAAGTATTGATCCGTCATTAAGGTGCAGTCGTATTAATACAATGCCATTGATTCTGTTCACCATTCAAACACACAAGAAGACTCACACTTACATTCCAAGCCATTTCGGGAAGTTTTCAACACCGCAATCATGTCTTCCTTACTGATAAGGCGGTTAAATCTCCGCGCTGCATTTACAAGTAGTAGCAGGGGTCAGAGGGCATGTGTTGGGGAGTTATTTAAAGGAGGCACACGACCGCGTTCTATTAGCAAAGGAATGGGGAATCACCACAGTGCTACGTTAACTACACACGTCTTACAGGTGAAGACGGGAGATCGCAAAGGCGCTGGCACCGACGCTAACGTCACGGTTATACTACACGATGATCATGGTAAGAAATCGTCCCCCTTGAAGCTTGATCACCCTTTGAGGGACGACCTCGAGAGGGGCTCTTTGGATGTCTTCCCCGTGGCGGAACCATTAAAGGAATTCGGGAAAATTCAGAAAATCGAATTTACAATGGAGAAGTTTGGATTGGCGTCCGACTGGTATGTAGAGTCGGTATGTATTGAGGACAAACGACAAGAATCGATCATTCCGTACATGTTTCCGATTCATCGCTGGATCAGACCCAGTCGCCGCTACGTGTTTGATCACCTGGACTGCAAGCTGCCGCAGGAGGACCAGGAAATAGACCAGAGGAAGGAGGAGCTGACGGAGAAAAGAAAAATCTATGAATTAGAGCAAAAAGCGCCCGGTCTTCCTGCACAGGTAACTTTTGTAGACTTATCCTTAATTACTATCATTACGATATTTTTATTTAATCGAAGTGTTGCCTAAATGGGAACATGGAATTGAAAACTTTTTCGCGAATCGCTGTCATAGCAGAGACTGACATTCGTTTATTTACGTGATAAAATCGATGAACATTTCGGATTGGAAAGGCGGGTCCTGAGTGAAAGAAGCTTGTCTCTCCATTCTAATATAATTCAAATGTTTAATATCTTTGCCAATACCTTTTAAAAAACATTTACACCTTTTTAACATCATTGTCTCGTGGCGGAATCGTAAATGGCTGTACGCGTTAAAACTCCCCCAAACGGGACAACATTTCAGAAAAATTACTTTTTTATGATATGCACATCTCAGGACTAAGCGGATAGGATTTTTTCTACTGCTACAGAGACAAACACAATCGTTATTGTTACACACAAATGTTTAATAAGATATAATTAAACAAAACATACAGTTTTGATTTTGATCTTGACGTTAACGCTATTTACAGTTAGAAACTCTTGTCTCTTTGGTTAAAACGTTGTTTTTTGATTTCGGGTTTATTTCAGGCTTTATTGTAGCTACTGGCATATGTTTGTAAGTTTTGTGTGCTTACGAAAAAGAACTAAAATGATTCTTAAAATATTTGCTGCAGATTTTTTTCAGCAAAAACGCACCGTTGCGTTTTCATTGATTACGTATATCCTACTAGGGGTCAAAACTTGGAAACACAATGTTTTAAATACCGTTTTCTTTTTACATATTCGACAGCAATTAATGGATATTTCATCATATTGTCTCCGACAATAACCAAGTTTTGCTATCGTGACTGATCATCAAGTAAGAGACTTTAATGGTTCAAAAAACCAGTTTAGGCGCAGCATCCCGGTGAGACTGGTAACTCAGCTTGTGAATAGTGCACGTAAAGCAAAGAGCAAATAGTTTTCTACTGATGATTTACTGCTGTGAACTAGCTACTTTGATGCCATTCATAACGTCAAAGATACACTTCCTCGTGCCAGTACGTGTTTTTAAAATAATCTGTACTCTAACGCGAATCTTTAATTGACTCATATGTTCAATGGGAAGCATAATTTTCGACCTGGCAAGGTGCATTTCCTTATTTTTGATATTAATAAATGTTTGATCACAAATGGCGTTTAGTAAAACAGGATATATTGCAAGATGAAGGTATATCTCCTCAAAGTAATCCCCCTGCTTTTCTCTATGGGTGCATTCCCAGAGATTTAGATCGATTTTAAACTAAATTTTCATTAGATACATTAAATTTTCTTCCTAGAGAAGATTTCACTTTCTTTTCAAAGACAGCGTACTTTATTGGCATGATTTATTCTGTCAGTTGTTAAAAGGCTTGAATACGACATATAAGATAATAAGATACATGTGAGTGACCAAGGGGTCCGCATTTAGATTGAGGTTATGCATACATGTTTATTTACATCGACCCTGTTTGAAAAATTCTCCTTTTGCAGCGCATACCTTAAATTCTTGTGGTTTGGAATATTCATGGTCAATTAAAGCCTGTATCGGTCACAGAACGCTAACATCCAAACCTCAACCTATAAACAGTCATTTATTAACACCAGTATATAACATTTCCACAAACGGGACCCCGTTACCATCTTTTTTTCTGATCAATTCCATAAAAACATCCATACCCCCGCCATACTTTAAAGGCTACATATGTTGTGGGTAATTTCGACGAAAAACATCAAAACAAAATCTATACCAAGTGTAGGGAACTTACAACTACAGCAAATCGTCCGTATTAACTGTCAATTTTTAATTTATGTAAGTTAAGTTCAAACGTCAGAGTTCACAGTCATATTAGCTGTCATAATAAATTTTTACCAAATACAAATATTGTTGTTCTTGCTGAACGAATGTCAGCTTGTACGATGTACAATGGGGGGATTCTCTCTGTTAACATAGACAGACAGACAGACAGACAATGGGGAGCCAAAAAGAGAAGCGTTGATTATCCAATTAGAAGTCAAAGCTTAATTCTCTTTTTTATTACAGGTCAAGCAGATCCCCGACGATGAAATGTTCTCTGACGATTACAAGGTAAGTTCCATTAGAAATTTAAAAAATGCAGAAAGTTACTTAGATGCCATAATAAAGAAAACAGTAAAAGGTTTTATTAACTAACAAACTTCTTGTTTCACTTGTTCTTTTCTCTAATATATTTGATTATTTTAGTGGGATATCGTCAAAAGAAAGATGGCATTGATAGCCCAAACCAAGCTGACACACCTCGCCACGTTGTTTGAACACTGGGACAGTTACGACGACCTGATAGCAGTGTATGGCGGAGACTTGGAGGCCCCTGAGGTACGGGAATTAACGAAGTTGTTTTAATGTTAATACCTCCAGACTTCGTCAAAGCTCCAGACGCTTATTTTTGCCTTTGTATAAAAGTATTAATGTAGCCGGTGCACATCATTTTGGTGTAATTTCTGTATTTACATGGGAAAAGAGACAAATTCCAAGACTCACTCAATTGCAACTTACGTCTGGTTTGGGAGTCCATCCCTGGCCATTGATATGGTAGTCAGAGGATAATGATGATGTGTCTTTACGATATAAATTAGTCAAAAGTCTGATCACAGCTCATGGGGCTTTTTATTTTCAGGAGCAGTTAAAATATTGGCGAGATGATGAGTGGTTTGGTGCCCAGAGACTTGCCAGCTGTAACCCTACACTTATCTCCCTGTGTACCGCTATCCCGCAGAAGTAAGGAGAGGGGAAGGGCGGCTGGGGGAGGGGGGTCAGATTTAGTTTAGATTACAAGTAAACGAAAGGGGAAAAGAGAAGAGCGTACGTTTATGTAAAGCTATTTAGATACCACAAAACTTATTCTTCAACAATATACTATATTAACTACACTTTGCAGGCTCAATTTAATAATACACTAATTTTTTCTACTCTTCAAAAAGTTTCGGGGTAACCGCGGCAATAGTCGAGCCATTCCTAGAGGGACTGTCATTACAGAAAGCCATCGATTCTAAGCGTCTGTTTCTAGTCGATCTCAAAATTCTGGATGGATTACAGCACAGAGCAGAAACCGAGGTAACCCGTTCCTCGATGTTAACTTCCAGAATTCCTCTTGTCTTTTATCCTGCTTAAAGTAAAGGATATATAACATGCTGAAAGCTAAGCCTGCCACGCCAGTCTACCGGTCCCACAGTCAACTAATTGTTAAATGTTAAACCAGTTTACCTCCTGATGTATGCCTTGAATATAAATACTAATTAATAGAATTTAACCGAACTTTCACCTGACGTTAAGTAGAAACAAACGACGTCTACGACATACTTTATTCAAGTTGTGATGCCGCTGATATTTAATGTGCATCATTTTATTTGAATTGCTACAGGTATGCGCGCCTTTGGCGTTATTCTTTCAAAAAGAAAACCAACGCTTGGTGCCTGTTGCAATTCAGCTACGACAAGAGGTCAGACATAATAACCCTGTAAGTACGCCTCATTCCCCCTTCAACCCACGTGTAGTTCATTTACAAGCATAAATCATTGCTCCTCTTTGCATGAAGTAACAAACACATTTTCCATTCAGCTTTACAGTTTGTCATGGTTGTATCGTTACGCTTTCACAGTTGTGGTTTGCAAGTGCTTTGAGAAAAAGTCGATGTCTATATAATGACAGACAAGTATATCAGATGAAAACGTTTTTCTTACTCTTCTCCTTAAGCTCTTCTCGGTCATGACCTGATGAGTGTTTTTATTTCTTTTCGTCCCCTAGGTTTTCTTGCCCAGTGATCCCCCCGGGACATGGCTGTATGCAAAAATGTGGTATAACAATGCGGACGCTTCTTACCACCAGTCCCTCACTCACCTGGGTAAGTTTATCAATGTCCCTAACATCTTAGCAAAATTCCACCTCTGAAATTGCATTATACACAGATTTTAGAATAGTTTAATATCTATTCATTTTCTAAGGTATGACATAGTATCCGCGTAAACATATTTCAAAGGGAACTTATTTAAATTTCAATGAATGGAATTATAGTTGCAATAAAATGAAAGTACGACATACATGTACACACATAGTCCATCAGTTTTCTTTAATAAAGGGCGTTAAGAGATATCGTTAAACAAAAAAAATTGACAGTCAAACTATTATTTATTTATTCTTTTATTTTTATTAATCTATTTTTTTAGCGAAAAATATCATTCCTGTGTTCTTTTCTTTTCATTTTAGGTTTTACCCATCTTTTAATCGAAGGCATATCGGTGGCCACAAACAGGCAACTTTCGCCCTCTCACCCCATCTTCAAACTCCTGGCGCCACACTTCCTGTATCTTATTGCTATAGATTGGTGTGTACCGCACAGAATATACTTTTTGATATCACACGTTTGAAGAGGACCAAATTAAATAGCGAATAACCTTTGTTAAGGAATATTTTTGAGAAGATCAGTGATATTCGTTAGATTTTAGTCGGCGAAAATCTCTCTCTCTCCCTCCCTCTCTCTCTCTCTCTCAAAGATCCAGACCATTAAACATTTTAACAGAAGCTATTTAGTTATATTGATATGTTGACGTTTCCTATTTAAGGCGCGGTTTGAACATGTTAATCAGTGAGAATGGCTGGGTAGAGAAGACCATGTCAGTGGGCCGGGCAGGAATGTTTGAGCTCATCGCAAGAGGGTACGTGTTGGGGTGTGAGGGGGGGGGAGGCAGGTATAAAGTGAAGACTAGAAAGTTTTTAAAGGTGTATAAATGAGAGAGAGTGGGTTTAGATTGAATCCTTGTGTGGAGTCTACAAAAATGGGTTCTTAGTTAAAAGTAATCCAGTCATTAATCGAGGAAAAACGGGACTTAATTGCATACAAATCATGTACATGAGGAATGGTGCATCAAGGGGACTGTTACAGTTATGTTTTCATGTCGAATACTCTTTGTGTCTTTTTAATAGATAACATTCGTGTCTCACATACATGATAAAGTTACGAAAAGAGAAATGGTAATTCCTCAAAGAGGTGTAAAATGTCCCTTACCTTTTGCATTAGCATTATTTCGTTGCGAATATGACCACAACCTTAAGATTATTTTCGATCAACAGTGTTAAAAGAGACGCTTTAATTAATTATTGATTTATGGTTCACATATGTAATTATTAATTTGATATTTCACAGGATACAAGAATGGCGATTGGACGTCCACGGAACCTTGCCGAAATATTTGGAGTCTCGCGGTGTAAGTGAAGTAATCAGAATGTAGTACTAAGACATTGATAAAGGAAAAGCCTAGTTGATAAATGATATTATAAAAATATGTCAAAATGAACAATTTTTTACAATTATATGTGTTTACTATGCAGTTATTGGATACAACCATTCTACCTAACTACCATTACCGTGAGGACGCCTTGCCGCTGTACTATAGCATTAAGAAATATGTCAGCCAAATTATCAACCATTTTTATGGTAGGTAAAACGTTCTCTCTATTTCTATTTTTGAGTGTTTCTATGGTCAAGTTTGACCTTCTAAAAGTCTTATATGCAACATTGAAGAAAAGGAATACTATTAAGTTTAACATAACAATATAACGTGCATTATACTTACATAATTTTGAATCACAACCATTTTGGTAAGATTTTTCCCGCATAAAAAATTTTTAGAATTTGTGGTAAAAACATTTTCAAAATCCTCTTTCTTTCTAAATTAAGAGAACCGCAAGAAACTCACAGAAGACTACGAATTGCAAAATTGGAGACACGAATTGGAAACGGAGCGAGAGAAAGGAGGCGTGGGGATACAGGTAAGTGATCTGTGCTGACGTCATCTTGGCCAGGTTTGATGCATTTGAATCTTGGCCAATGCATTTGAATTCTAAACTTGGGACGCTAGGCTCTGAGATTTATACTCGTGTATCGGAAAATGGCCATTTTTATCTCTTGTTATCTTATTCCTGTCGAATACCATTACAAATAAAAATGCCCAGACCTGTCACTTGCTAAAATGGATAATCTAATTTTTCTTTCTTCAAATTTCTACGCTGTTCAGTTTTAAAGTGAGTCGATAAGGATTTTAATTGAACGTGTTCGTTTCAGGGCATACCAGGGAGCGTGACATTTGAAAATAATGACGAACTAATCCTGACATGTACGTCAATTATCTTCACGTGCAGCGTATCTCACGCGGCGTCCAACTTCCCCCAGTACACTGACTACGCCTTTCCTCCGAACTACCCAGCTTATATTAAAGGGCAGCCGCCCACGGATAAGGTAATGTTAGACGTCCAAAAATATTAGATGGCATCTTTAGATGATGGTTCTTAACTGGATATTGGCTCTTTTTGAACACTAGTAGTTAATATGTTAAGCCTACTTGACAAAACACTTTTGATTTTCGATATTTCATACGTGATACTCAAATTCGAGTGGTCACTTTTAGCAATATATTTAATTCCATAGACGAAAACTTTTCATCGTCACTAAATCAACTTGTCATGGCGGTTTATCTTAGTATTGGTGTCTTCTCTGAAGGTTCCTGTGTCGGAGGAGGACATCGTGAAGACGCTGCCTACCAAGTCTCATACCTTGGACATCATGGTGGTCACCAAACTTCTTAGTGACAAGGGGACTAACAGTCTGGGGGATTTTGACATCCAGTACCTGCACGACCCTGTCTCTGTCAAGGCTGCACAGACGTAAGACTCAGGACGTGTTTACATCAGGACTAAATTATACTAGAAATAGACTAATTGACGCCACCAGACATCAGAAACACGGGCATCCCATTGTGATGAGACTTTTCAATTCTGTGGAGCAGTGTGACGTCATTCAGTCTTTTTTCTTAGTCATGGTGTAAACACAGACTTAAAGATGGGAAGCAGACTTATTGACATGTAGGGTTTTATAAACCTCACTATCGCTTCAAACAAGTTCGATCTGATTTATTCTTTTCACAATGACTGTGAAAAACCCATGGTCTACGGTGTATGTTTAATTGTAGTTTTAGGGTAACATTCTGATTCTCGAGGGAGGGGTTATTTATTGGTAAATAGTGATGTTTTCTGTCTGGGAGCAAAATTTACACAGGAGAAGGTGTGCGTTGAAACGATACGTCTCGGATCAGAGTTCATTATACTGATGGTAGCTAACTGGTGCATACCTGTGCGTTTTTCACGCACACTTCTGTCCTGCCAATAGATGTTGCTTGTTCTATTTCCTTATTTGTTATCCGGTAACTAAACCGCACTTTTTTCCTTTTCAGATTACGACAAGAGCTGTCTGAATTGAGTGAAAAGATCAAGGAGAGGAACAAGAGTCGTTTTCCATCTTACCTTTATCTGCAGCCGGATCACGTACCAAACTCTATCAGCATATGAATCGCCAGGAGGAAAAAAACGCCATTAAAAAAAGCGTAGACTACGTCATATCGGCGATCAGATCGGTTACTTATGTTGGCACCAATGTTGCGGCAGAGGGTAGCGCTCATGGCGTGACGTCACCGGTACGTTTAACATCAAATACATAGCCCATGCTGCCGATCACAAGACTGACCACCTATTGCGGAAGATCTGCAGCACTGCCGGTAACAGCATGCAATACTACTAGTAGTAAGACCGGAGCGAGATTTACAAGAACAGATGTTTTTAATCACGGCAAAGTTGCGAAGGCAGCAGCGCCACAGGAGTCAGCGCATCTCCATTACACTCTGAAACTAGATTGCGGCAAACCTTCCTAATTTCAGAGGAACAAAAACTATCAGTTTGTGGAACAAAAAGTAGCAGTATATGTGTGTTTTGATCGTTTTAGTATTCTAATGAATGTTTTAGTGTTTTGAAAAGATTTCAATGCTACATTGAAAATTTCTTGCTGTTTTTATGATACAAATATGTTCTACTGGTTGTATAAAAATGTCTTCATATTTAAACAGAGGTCTATCTATTGTGTTATATAATTTTAGGTCACAGAGTTTATAAAAATGCTAGAAACTGTTACGATTGACTGGTGTACTCCCCGGTAAAGTTTCGTTGGTAAGGTTCCCAAAGGCCTTTTTCACTACGAGCGGTACATAAATCCTATTTTCCAGTTTAACCCAGAGAAATCCATTTTCCGCTCTTGACGTTTATCAAGCCTAATGCACATTGACAAGCAGCATGCAACATTATCTTTCACTACATTTTTATTTTTACGTTTTGCAAAAACAGAGTGATATCATTTCAGGAGTATTCACCCAAGATGTTTAGTAAAACTATATTTGCCCACTGCTTACTGCAGCACTGCTTTATCATCCAGTACTTGCTGCTTGCTGTTCAAATGATATGTGTTTTATTTATAAAATATGTTCTATGGCAGAAGACAGATGGTCAGGAATACCAGCATGATGCATGACGTACCTCACGATGCATAATGACTTTGTTTACTGAATTACTGAACAACTCTTGAACAGCACCTGGAGAAGAAGGGAATTAATCATCAAGACTGCAGGGAATCTGCATTAACTGGAATTCCTGGATTTATGAAAATGCAAAAATGAAACTATTTGTGCAGATCTGTAGTTGTTAGACAAGTTCTACTGCATCTGACTGAGTTTTGCAGAGTGTTTTCTGTCCTCTAAGTGAGCCTGTATTATCTGTGCAAACTCTGGTCTTTGTAGAAACTGGTACGCCATGGGTAGTAGGGCCAATATGAAGCCTTTAAATGTGTCTCCACCCCCATAGGTGAACAGATCTAGTCCCAGTTCTAAGCCCTCCCCATAGTCACACTCATCATTGGCAAACTGCACTAGTGTTATCAATTCCTGCAGAGGGTCTATGTTCACATTTCTTTCTTCTTCTGTTTTACTGTTTTCAATTTTCTTGAACATCTTCTTTAAGTCAGCTAAAATTAGAAAATGAAAAGGAGTTAATGTCTGGTACTGCATTTTATTTTTGCTTAACTGCCTTTTTTTAATTGTGATGTTTTGTAATTATCAACATAAAAATTTATTAGTAATAAAGTTATTACAGTATGGAATTGTTTTCATGAAAACCCACTTTGATGTCAAGNGGGGGGTGGTCAATTTTGCTAACATCATGAAAAAACCTCTGCTGTCATGAACAACACTGTGACGCCAGATATTCACCTAGTTCTAAACAATGGAATTAAATCTAATAATTATTTTGACAACCCAGGATATTCTGTACCCTACCTGGGCTCTCTACCCCCCCCCCCCCCCCCCCATCACCATATCCCCTACCTGGACTCTCTGGCATCTCCCTGTAGCCGACTTCATTGGCATCCACAGGGACCACAATTCCAGCCCCATGAAATGTCTTACAGACCACCTTCTTAGCCCGGGCCTTCATCGCTTTGGTCTGTGCTTCTAGAGAATAACTCTTCTTCTCTGACCACGAAATTAGCTTGGACTGCAGATCTGTCAACTTGGCCTTGGAAGATTTGTCCTTCTTGATTTTTTCATCAATGAGCAATCTGCAAGGCAATGAACCAAATCATGAAATGTAGTTTTTTGACGCTTCTCTCTTTTATGGTGTGAATGTAACATGCATTTCGGGTTTACACAAGTTCACTTTGACTTCCAGCCAACATTTCCACAAAAGAATATTGGTACATAAGTGATGAATAAGAAATCAATTTTTTTTAATTTCATAGAGTTATGCAAATGAAAGGATAGGTATTTTTATAATTCTTCTTCAATACAAAACTAACAAAAACAATGATGTCCACGAAAAATTCAATTTTGGAGGTAAATATCAGATAGGATATTTTTTTATAATTACAAAAAAAACTTAATACTCACTTCACACAGGCAAACACATTCTCTCCCATGGGTTTAATAATGCCATTCTCTGCTGCTGCATTGGTAGCCACAAAACATGGAAGCTCCTTTGGGTCATCTCTAAGAAATAAAAATTTATACATGAAAAATATAAAAAAAAATCTTGAAAGTTTTTTGTGCCCGTTTCTTTCCACTCCCTTAAAACTACATTTTAATAGCTTTCAATTTCATTATTATTATTATTCTTACTTTAGGACAGCTGTCATCACAAAAATTAAAATAAAGACATTATTTCATTTAAAAAGGAGGTCGAATGTCACATAATAATATCTTTTACTCATTTTAAGTTTCCTTAAGCCTTCGCATTATGTATCTATATGTTAAGTGTAACTCAGAAACACTCCTACCTATAATATCCCATATGAAACCTGACCTACATGTACCTGTATGCTACATAAAGTGTACCTCAGAAAGGCTCTTACCTATAATATCCTATGTGAAACTGTAGAGTATCATCTCCTTTGATAACTGTGAGGAACTCTGGAGGATCATAGAAGTATCTCCAGTGTCTGAGATAACATGGAGGAGCACCTGAGCTGTTCACCTTGACACATTGACCGGCTAGCACATCATATGGTCCTACCAGCTGCAAACCCAGACACTCCACCAATGCATCTGAATAATAATAATACTAATAATAATAATAATAACAGTACTAATAATAATAACAATAATAACATTATCGGTATAAATATATTCTATAGCTATTTGTGTCATTTTAAGTTGATAAACTAATAACTTCTTTTGCCAAGGGGAAATTCCTGACAAGTTCAGATGTTTGACAGCTGAAAGTTGGTCAATTTCTGTGAAATACAAAATTTGACCATATATTTTTATTGTTTGAGTAAAGTGACCAAAGAGCTTCCATGGTATAAAGTTTATCTATAATACTACAGAAGAGACAGTCTTCTGTGCTTTTTTCACAGAATGTTACATCTCTTTGAAGTAATGAAATAATCACACCTCCTCAAAAACTGGATTTTTTATACTGAAGAAGGCAATAAATGGTTTAATTTAACAGTAAAACTGAAAAGTTTAATTTAAAGGGATAATAACTCTTCGTTTTGGCCAAAAAATGAATTTTCCTGGAGTAAACAACAATTTTCCCTTACTTTCCAATGGTTAATGAATCCATTTTTACGTTCAAAGTTAGCCCCTGGTTTTTTTCTAAAAAGTTTGTTTCTTAAGAGATTATAACAGAGTATAGCCATCAATGGAGATCACGTGATCTGAAGACAAGCTCAGATATCAGAATAATAGCTATAACTGCTGCTTTGTCTTAAAACAGAATATATTATATTTCTATGAGTTATTCACAATGTTTTTATTGTGAAATATAGATCTCATACGAAGAGTTATTATCTCTTTAACTAAGCACAGTGAAGACCCAGACGGGCCAGATGGTTTGAGATACATAAATATATGTGAAATCACAAGTTTATAATTATTTTAATATAGTGGCACTATATATATATATATATAGTGTACAAGTTGTAAATGCACAAGAAAAGGGCCTGTGTGTGTGGCACTTGGTTGTTTATAATAAGTACACGATAACATACCAGATGGACACTCAGGGTTGAGTGTTTTACAAAATTCCCAAAATTCATAAAAGTCATCTGGCATTTCCATCAGGAATTTTTCCTTTATAAACTCCTTCACGTCACCAGGACATTCAAACTCCAGCTGGACTTGGCTTTCTGGAGGAAATAAAACTTTCAAATCACACAAATGTGTTCCAAAAAAAACTACATAAATACAAGAAAATAACTACAAGTAGCTTTTAAAAGAGATGTTATTACTGAGCAACATACGGCAGGCAGTTATATGTTTTCAATATTTTCATTTCTTTTCATTTGATCTTTGTATGTGAATGTCCCAGAACTTCTATCATAGCTGGACATAATAAAAGTGGCAAGTATAGCAATCTTAGTTAATGTAGGTGATGGAAGCATACATGTAGTTTTTGCATCTTCAGTGATCAGAGTTACTAAACAACTTGAAAATATCAGCCATGGTCCTGTAGCATACACACCTTTTTCACTGTCATCTGGGGAACCAGCTGCTGTAGTGTTCTGGTCTGTTTTCTCTGGTGATACACTTTCTTTCCTCCTTCTTTTGGCAGGAGATTCTACACCCTACAATGTAAGACATTGCACTGTGACAAAGTGCAAGATTTAAACCTATGTTAAGGACAAATAACATTCTGTTGAACCTTTCTGAGGACAAATAATACTTTTTGGTCATTTAAAACATAAAAGCCATGAAACACCTGACAATTAAATCTTGCCACATGTCCACCATCTGGACTGTTTTGTATTGACCACAACTCAGAAGTCAATGCTCAGAATGAAGGCAGAATTTGAAAAGCATACACTTAGGCTGTTGGGGTTTTATTTAAGGACTTCTTACTTTTCTCTGACTGTTAAAGAGTTATGACAAGTGTCAGGAAATGAAGGTTGTTTAGTTGGAGAAAAAAACAATGTTTACATCAGAAACATCCTTTAGATACAAATTTTCATTGCAAGAGTTTGAAGAAAAACTTACATGGTGCACCTTAAAATTAGACACTATTTGCACACACATCATCAGAGTACTGTGCACATGTTACAACTACTGGTAATTATGAGAACTTTACAGTTTGAGTCACGCTTGGAAATATACAGCCACACTGGTAGACATGTTCTGGCAGACTAATGCTAGTACTACATGTACAGTATACTGCACAAGATGTGATGTTGATCTTTACGCCTTTAATTACGGTTCTTAGTGAGACTGCATTGCACGTTAGTTTGCAAATGACAGAGCATCCACTTTGTTTTTGCTTTGCACATTACGATAGCGTAGCGTGATACTTAACAGGTCGTTTTGTGTTTTCAGCACCTCCCCCCCCCCCGGGTCCCCCAGAGCTTCATCAAACGACAAAGGTGGAAGCAAAGCAGCTGTTACTATAAGCCTTTAACGTCAGGTACATGTAGAAATTGTAAATTTCAGATGGCGGGAAATTGCATGCAAGAGCACCCGTTACTTATCGTGAGAAACAAACCTCTGATGCATCATTCCACGGATGACTGAACTCTTTAAGATGTCTTGGATTTTTCCTGTAGCACTTTTTACCATACGTGCACAGTGGTTTTCTGTCTCTTTTCTCGGCTTGCTCACTACTTCGCTTACCCTTGTCAGCCATGCTTCAATACTTCAACACAGCCTTTTGTGCAGTTTTGTTGTGAATATTATTTCTAACATGAAAGTCCGTATCAGTCAACAAAATGATTTTAAACGGTCATAATTATATAATCTTTACATACCGTAAAGCGAGCTTTCGATACATTTGCTCGAAGTTTTAAACAATAGTACCACTCTTGATCCGTCTTGGACCTGGAGCTCTCTACTGACGGAGTTCGGAATCATCAGCCCGATAATGCCAGAAGCAGAGGATGCATTTCCGAGCGAAGGAGCGGACACTTCGCACATCTATCCGGATTTGGACGTGAATCAGGAGTCAGGTTTGGAACGGTGCGTTTACTAGTACTGAAGCAGTATTCAAGGAAGTTAGCACTGTTACGTAGTGTTATAAATTGTCGATATATGACCATTGACTCTGACATCCCATGACTAGACGGACTTTAGCCTAGTTCCATGGCCGTCTTATCAGTCACTGATAGTGAGTGTTATTGTGCTGGGGCCAATAAATGAAGCTTGAAGAATAATAGAAACAACCCTTTATTCATACGTAAAGTTATCAGGTGATCATTGTCTGTACTTACGAGACTTTGATATAGAATGTGATGTTATGTGTTTCTTGGTCCGAAGTGAACTGTTATGAAAATAGACACCATCTAATGCATTGTCATTGGTAACAGGGTGTAGGGATGTGGTCTCTGTTAGGATGTATGATTTAGTTATTAGACCTTTCAGAAACCATGTATTATGGAACAGATATCCCCAAGTAAGTGCACAATTGGTCAAAAATGTATTGAGATGTATGCAAGTTGAAATGGGCTAGCTTTTTTATGTAGTTCTTTCCTTTGGTACAGTAGACACCAACCCTTCAAAAACTGGCTTATGGATCTTTTTGTCTGATTGAAAGTAAAACTTTCTTAAAAGTGTTTCTTAAAAAATTGGACTGCAAATTTTTTTACAGAGGGAGATTTGTTGGAATAACTCATATAAAACGAGAGGGAATTTACAATATGAGTAGATGGAAAGTTATACAGTGTATCAGCCATGCTCTTGATACTGATAGTCTTTAAGTATTTCTTAAAACATTTAGATACACTAAGAAAGGAATGCCCACGTTTTAAAAAATAAGAAATAGGTTATTATTACAGCATTAGTTGACTGCTCTACTGGTAAAAAAAATTGGGAAACATTTTTAGATTGTAAATTTGAACATTGAAGTTTTACAGTAACTTTTGTAGTATTGCATGTCTCAGATATGCCATGTATCAACTCTGGTCACACATTGATAAGTGTGTAAATTTTTATTCCTCTTATTAATTATTTGTTGAGAAGTATATTTATCTTTTTTTCATCCTGTTATTTGGTGTGAATCATTTGTTTACTACATTTAAATCAATATAGCACCTGTTCTAAGAATTATAAACATTGCATGCAGTTCAAATGATGAATGTTTGTTACATTCTTCACTATGGGCAATGAATGATGTAAGTGGTTTACTGAGGACTGAGGATAATTAGCCTGAGGTGGTGCAGTGTTTGCTGGTCAGATGACCAGAACATTACACAGAAGCACGAGATTTTGACAGATTTATTTTCTTTTTTGACTGCTTATATCGGGGTATGGCTTTGCTTATATCCTGTATATAAGTTTGATAAGGGTTAGAGTAATGTGTAGCAGGTAGAGTATCCCCACCCAGAGTACACTGTAGACACTAGAGGACACTCACCATGAAGTATAAGTAAGTTGTCTTTGATCATGTATGCATTCACATTTGTAATAGAAAATAATTTTGATAAGTGGGAACAGTTTCTAATATATTTTATTAAGACATGTCCTTCCACAACAAGAGTTACTGTACTGGGTAGAAGGTTGTGAGAGGAACTTCTGGCAACAGTGGGTGTTTTCAGCCCAGGTGTTAATATATATCTATCTAATATATATTTTGTGAAGACATGTCCTTGCACAACAACAGGCAACAGTGGGTGTTTTCAGCCCAGGTGTTAACTTACACCAGGGTATTTCTTGGTTTTAAACTGTAAAATTTAGCTTCCTGCCATCTCTTAAATGTTGTTATGATAGTTTTATCTTATATAACTTTTTCACTAAATATGAAATATTTGTTTAAACTCATCATTTTCAATTATGTAGAAGCCCATGTGTTCTTGAGTTTAATATCATGTTAAGTACTTGGTACAAAAAAGATTGTTGTATTGATCTTTTTCATTCAGATTTTCTAATGTTTAACTTCATTTATAATACCCTTTTTTTATCTGCATAACCATTGTTTTGTTTTGGTTTTTAAAGAAGCAAAAATTCTGTGTTAAGATTTTGTTCTAGGTTTTTGAAATATTATCTGGTCATATGTTAATGCAGAATGATGATTTGCTTACATGAACTCATTCATTCATTCATTCATTCATTCATTCATTCACTCGTTTGTTTGTTCATTCACTCATTCATTCATTCATTCACTGTCCAGGTCTGGTACTCCAGTAGGTGTCCCCAGTACTGTGATAGAGCCACCCAATGTGTACAAGAGCAGATGGAGGTCTATAAGAGTGATGTACCTGACCATGTTCCTGAGCAGTGTCAGTTTTTCCATATGTATGTCTTCAATATGGCCATATCTGCGCATGGTAAGTAGACCTGTATACATATTTATACCTGGGTGCCTCTAAGGCTTTTACTGAGGTAGGTGACAGTCTTCACCAGTGTATAGAGGTAGGAGTGCTGTTTCCTACAACTTTTTTTATAGCTAACTCTGTTTAACCAACAGAGATGTCTGTGGTGGCAGGGAATGGTGATATCATTCAGTGGTCTTAAGAGTGTGTGCAAGCTGCTACTGGTTCAGGGATTAATACTGAACTTCTGCAGTCTCTTTCTGGATGTCCTAAAAACTTTTCTGTTGCCTGGAGTGAGGGTAGGGGACGAGGGGCCTATTTCAGCGTACCACAGAAAGGTTGATTTGAAATTGTGGTGTGAAGCTTTGATGAGATTACAGTCTTATCTAACCTAGGTAAACATTGACTGATTTTGTCTAAATTAATGATTTTTGAATTGCAGTCCTTGAAGATATCAGACAATGTGCACATAAATACAGTTATTTACAATGTGCACAGTCTGTGAATATATGGTACTTTGTTTTGGCTGTAAAGTTTTCAGAAGAGACATATGGATTTGCTGTCTAATTTTTATTTTTATTCAAAATTAAAACCTGTCTGTAATCTCAGAGATAAAAGCTCAGCACTTTAAGCTGTGTTGAGAAGTACCAGGTGAAGTTTTGATACTGGTAGTAACTTCCACCATGGAGGTGATGTTTTGTCTGTTTGTTGGTCTTCTATTAGCAACTCCATGCAAAAAGTAGTAGACAAAATCTGAAGAAATTTTCAGATTGTGTTTGAAAGAGAACAAGTAACAAGCAGTTAGATTTTGGTGACAATTAATTAATTAGTGGTCCATTATTTAATTGTTTGTCTCTCTGCTTGGAACATTATGCAGAAACTGTTTGGAGGGGACCCATGAAAATTGAGAAGATTTTGGATGTGATCCATTAATTAATAAATTAATTAATTCTAGGAGGCGTCAGTGTTTGGCAAACAACATGTTATGATTTGACATCCACATGGTTTGGTCTTATATCTATTCAAAATTCACTGTGTGAAATGTCAGAGTAACCAATGCACCTTATTTCACCTCTATGAGTGGTGCAGTTTGTTATGAACTTATCTTATGATGTCCTTTGCCTCTGGGTAATTGCACTGTCTTGTGATTAATGTTCTTATGTTTCCTGACACATTATTTATTACATTTACATTTGTGAAGAGAGATTTGTACTTTGAGATGTATGCATTTCAGTTTTTACATTATGGTTTGGGACAAAGAAGTTTTCTTAAATCAGGTGTGATGACTTAAATATGATTGAATACAATATATCATATTTTACACATCTGCTTGTCATCTCTTTACTAGTTTGAGCATAAACATAAATGTCACATTGCCTAGATAAGAGGTTATTTCAGACAGCAGAGACATTCAACTCTCCATTACTAATTTATCAGATTGGATTACAAATATAATATTGAATTCTGTTGTTGTTTTGTAATTGTACATTATTTCCAACATACAGGCACTGTACAGTACAGTAGAAGTATTAGGAGTATTGATGTCTGTTTACCTTCACTTGTTTAAACTATTTTATCACAGACATCTCACATGCACTATTAGTATAAAGGAAACCGTTGTTATTATTTTTGTTATTATTTTCATCATTATTACTAGTAGTAGTAGAAGTAGTAGTAATATTATTAAAATTATATTTCAGCTGGATCGCGGTGCCACCACAGCATTCCTGGGCTGGGTAGTGGCTGCTTATAGTTTGGGTCAGCTGGCAGCGTCCCCAGTCTTTGGGGCTTGGGCCACATGTAGACGTAGAAGTCGCGAACCTCTGGTGGTCTCCATTGTCATTAATATCCTGGCCAATCTGATGTATGCTTACATAGTGGACATCCCTGGAGCAGCCTATAGAAAATACTACCTAATTGTGGCTAGGGCATTGATTGGCTTTGGGGCAGGTAACCATTTTTTAATATGATTATGCGTCCTAATTTGTTCCTCCCTTCCTGTGTCCTCTGCCCATAGTATGATCTTACAGTTTCCTTTCTTGCTTCCTTTCTTCTCCTCCTTCCTTCCTTCAGTTTTACCTTCCTTCTTTTATTCTCCAGTGATATGGATTTGCAGTTGATTTTGATAAAGTAAAAGACTAAAATTTCTTACAGTATGAAAACTGACTTCTCATATCGTAGCTATGTGTTCCTTTCTTTTCCATGTATAAGGTAATGTTGCCGTGGTGAGATCCTATACCTCTGGTGCTACCACCATCAAAGAGAGAACAGGTGCTATGGCTAGTATGAGTGCCTGCCAGGCCACAGGATTCATTCTAGGACCAGGTAGGTTAACAGGTGCTATTGCCAATATAAGTGCCTGCCAGGCCACAGGATTTATTCTAGGACCAGGTTAGTTAACAGGTGCTATGACCAGTATGAGTGCCTGCCAGGCCACAGGATTTATTCAAGGACCAGGTAGGTTAACAGGTGCTATTAGTACCAGTATGAGTGCCTGCCAGGCCACAGGATTCATTCTAGGACCAGGTAGGTTAACAGGTGCTATTAGTACCAGTATGAGTGCATGCCAGGCCACAGGATTCATTCTAGGACCAGGTAGGTTAACAGGTGCTATTAGTACCAGTATGAGTGCATGCCAGGCCACAGGATTCATTCTAGGACCAGGTAAGTTAACAGGTGCTATGACCAGCATGAGTGCCTGCCAGGCCACAGGATTCATTCTAAGACCAGGTAAGTAAACAGGTGCTATGACCAGCATGAGTGCCTGCCAGGCCACAGGATTCATTCTAAGACCAGGTTGGTGAACAGGTGCTATGACCAGCATGAGTGCCTGCCAGGACACAGGATTTATTCTAGGACCAGGTAAGTTAACAGGTGCTATTACCAGTATGAGTGCCTGCCAGGCCACAGGATTCATTCTAGGACCAGTTAGGTTATTACTTCACCCAGTGACATAATTAATACACAAATTGCCTATTTAAGGGAGTCAATAACTGAAAAATATTGACATTTCACGTATACAGGCTATGTTGGTACCTTTGGGTTACCCCATAGACACTAGCAGTAATCTGTACAATGATTTACCCCTGAACCTGTATATTATAAAACTTTATATTGTGTAATATTTCAGGTATACAGGCTATGTTGGTACCTTTGGGTTACCCCATAGACACTAGCAGTAATCTGTACAAGTATTTACCCCTGAACCTGTATATTATGAAACTTTATATTGTGTAATATTTCAGGTATACAGGCTATGTTGGTACCTTTGGGTTACCCCATAGACACTAGCAGTGATCTGTACAAGTATTTACCCCTGAACCTGTATATTATAAAACTTTATATTGTGTAATATTTCAGGTATACAGGCTATGTTGGTACCTTTGGGTTACCCCATAGACACTAGCAGTGATCTGTACAAGTATTTACCCCTGAACCTGTATATTATAAAACTTTATATTGTGTAATATTTCAGGTATACAGGCTATGTTGGTACCTTTGGGTTACCCCATAGACACTAGCAGTGATCTGTACAAGTATTTACCTCTGAACCTGTACACGGCGCCAGTGTTTCTCAGTGCGTTGCTGGGCCTGGTCAATGTGGTGTTACTGGTGGTGGTGTTTAGAGAACACACCGTAGTGGATGATAGTGACCTGGACTTCTCCAGGGGAGGCTCTGTTAACGCTGACCTAAATGAGTATGATGCACATCTTCAGGATAGTAAGTCACATATATGGTGTACTTGATGAATTGCTACTCTTGTGGAAATATGTGAAAATTTAAAATATAGTTAATGTGGTTAAAGAATATATACTGTTGAACTTTTTAATGCTGTGGAATAGATGGTATAAATATCAGTTAAAGTGGTGCTTATCAAAACATTACATTGATTAATCTCTAGAATTTTAGAAGTTTTAATGTTGGCTTTCTTTTCAGTCTGATCAAATTCTAATGTCGTTCATAATGTGTCCTTATTTATTCTCTGTTCTAGCAACACCACTGGGCATTGAAGTGAAGCCTGACAGAATTGCTGTTCTTGTTCTTTTATTCATCTTCTTCATTGTGCTATTTGTCTTCTCCATATTTGAAACGTAAGTATCTGCACACAGCCACAGGAGTTTAAAACTTGATATCTCTTGTGGTTTTCAGTAACATACCAGTACAGGGTAACATATATTTATATTCGTTTATACAGTATGTTATTCTTTGTTTTAGACACTTGTAAATAATTTTATAAATAATTGTGTCCATTTTCACATGAATTTTATTTTGTTATTAAAATATTTTGCAATTTGTAGAACTGTTTGATGTGATGCTAAAGTGTTGTATTCTACAGTATAGCTACCCCACTGACTATGGATGAGTATGCCTGGACTGAGGAGCAGGCCTCGCTGTATGTGGGCATAACACTGGCTGTGGCTGGCATTATAGCTATTTTGGTCTTTATTCTCATCAAGATTTTATCAAGGAAGTAAGTGATTGTGAAGACTGTTAATTAACACTATATGGCAGTATTGTACAAGTAAAATACAAGTAAACCGCCAAGGAATAAAGTTGTTTTCTGTGATTTGTTGTTTTGAGAAAAGAAAAAAGTATTTGCAGAGTTCAGAAAATAGAGAAAAAAATCTGAGAAATGACCTTTCTCTATGCTTGCACATGTAAAGTTTCTAATCTAAAATATGTTAATGTAAAACCATGCTGTATTCAACATATATCAAAATTTATAGTCAGTTATTTGCGCTGCCATATTTTTTTGTGTTGTTATTTTTAATTACCTTTTTTATTTTATTATTAACAATATTTATACCTTAACTTTGTCACCAGATGCCTCGGGGTCCAGTTGCATATTACATATTAATATTTAACTATTTTGTATTACTTTATTATTGTATAATAAACAATATTTATACCTTGACTTTGTCACCAGATGTCACCACTGTTGCCAGATGCCTGAGGTGTGTACTAGTAGGCTGTTTTCTTCAAGACTTTTTTTTTCAATTATTTGGCTATATTGCTCAAGTGTGATTTAAAATAAACTTCATTTTCATTTTAAAATTATTTCCAGACTGAATGAGAGGTTCATTTTAATTGGAGGATTCATATTTGTGCTGGCTGGTTTTATCGTCTACCTGCCGTGGGGTCCCGCCAGACCAGATGTGGAGATTGCCAGTAAGTGGAGATTTCTAAGACTGCATTCCCACAGATTTTAGATCGATCTATTCCCCTGGGGAGTCTCACTAGATTACTGTCAGCATAGCCGGCTTAAATGTCTGTCCCACCTACTAAAAGCTGTAAGGGGGTAATTAACTTCCGTGCGCATTCGGCTGACAGCAATTTAGCGTGAACCCCCAGGGACTTAGGTCTATCCAGATGGATTGATCTAAATCTGTGGGAATGCAGTCTAAGATTCCCAGCTGGCACTGGTCAAACAGGCTGGGTCAGCTTTAAACTTCTCGTCAGTAAATCAAGTATGGTGAAGTACTGGGTATTGATTGTGGACACTCAGTTAAAATATGTGTGCCAACTTCTTAAATCTTGTTCTCGTCTGGTTTAATGTTAAACAAAGACGTGTCTATCTCCTTCAAGCAGTTGCATGGCCAGGAATTTTGGATTCTGAAGTGCAGGAGGCTTCATTGGGAATTTCTATCAGCCATATGATCCTAATCTTTACTTACATTTGATGTCAACAGGAACTATGTTTATAAATTTAACATACTGTTATTACAGAACTAACCAACAGTTCATCAGCATCAGTCACTGATATGTCAGGTATGATAATGGAGGCAGTAGAGGTCCTGGGCAGGAACGTTACTGCAGCAGTCACCACCATCAAGACAACAGTCACAGCTCACACTACAGATCTAAAGCCAGCAGGATGCCCCTACTACTTCTCATGGTGTCTGACAACACCCAAAATATTCATAGAACAGTATTTCTCAGGCACTTTCCTCATTGCTGTGGGATATCCCACCACCAATGTGATGACTTATACACTGTTTTCAAAAATACTGGGCCCAAAACCACAGGTAAAGATGAATACTTTTATTGTGTGGATTGTTAAGTTCATACATAAAACCTGCAAAAATGTTTAGGTGTAAAGGTTTGAAAATGGATAAAGTTCATCTCGAAATAATAATATTTTATTCTGGAAACCATACGTACATAAATGTATTAGCACTAGTAGTTTTATGATGTTTGAAAGATTTTTAATAACTTGGAGGCCTGTTTAACCCAGCATAGAACTTGCATAAAATTTTTTAAGTAATTGTCTTTGGTTTTTCAGACATCCACCCATCCTTTTTTGATAACCTTGCTCTTGCTTCAGCTTTATAATAACACATCTGTTTAACTTTTGCTGTTGTGATGAATATAAGACTTTTTGAGGATTAAAAATTCTGCTCAAACCAAGACCTGTTCTGCAGAGCCTGGTTAACACCTGTTGACTCCCACAATGTAGCTTGAACAGACTAATATGTCACTTGAGATATATGAGGACCCTGTTTTCACTTCCTTACATGAGATTTCATTATATGTGTGCTTTACACAAAAATTGTCACCTAGTGTATTGCTTGTAAGGTACAGCAAAATCATGGACAGTCATAATAATGACATTGACTGAGATGTGGGAAATGATTGACACCCTTCACCCTGGAGGTTTTGGGGACAGACGGTTCCCCTTCCTCAGCAGGGCATTACTGTGAGCTGCAGGTGCTGTCATGTGACTAGATATTGTTATCATGCGCCCCCCCCCCTCCCTTACCCCCTTCCCTCTCAGCCACCCCTTTTATATAGATACAAAAAAGACTGGCCCATCTGTTCCTGCTTGCAGGGTCTTATGATGTCACCCCCCTTCCTTAACCCCCTTACTCTCAGCCACCCCTCTTATATAGAAATAAAGACACCCCTCTTGTCTAAATAAAAAGAAGACTTACACATCTGTTCCTGCTTGCAGGGTCTTATGATGTCACCCCCTCCCCCTTACCCCCCTTCCCTCTCAGTCATCTTTATTATATAGATACATAGAAGACTGACACATCTGTTCCTGCTTGCAGGGTCTTATGATGGGATGTTTGACAGGATCAGGCAGTTTGGGGCGTGTTCTTGGTCCTCTCTTTGTCAGTAATTTATACTTTCTCCTGGGACCACGCTACTCATTTGTAGGTGTCTGTGGCATTGTTTTCGTAGCTGTGGTGACCACTTGCGCATGCTTCCGCAGACTGGTTCCTTTTGGAGAATCGAAAAAGAAAGAAAAGAAACTGAAAGTAGATTCTGATGGTTTTGTGGGAAACTATACCTCAGTTTCCTCTGTGATGTTTCAAGATTTGACAGTTTCTAATGAATTAGAAAGTGAAGATTCTGAGTCTGTCATGAACTCTTTAATGAACAGTTTACGCACTGCTTTTGAAAACTCAGAGGGATATGTTCAGTAAGACTGAAAAAAAGTGAATTTTAGTTAAAACAAGGAGTGAGTAAAAGACATTTCACAATGCATATGGCAATATAGGAATATGTTTTCATTCCTTTAAACGTAAATTTGTTTGCCATTGAGTCTGTTAAACCCTAACTTAATCTGTTGTTTCAAATTGTTGTATGTTATGATGTGTGGTGATTTGTCATGATTTGAATCTAGTCATTATCCTAACATAAATCAAAATGTATCAATCGGGGATAATTTTGATTTTTTAAATATTATTATTTGCCTTTATACAAATTAATGAATCATGAATATTTTGTTTGCAAAGTTTTATTATGTGTCAGCTAGGAATCTGATAATTTAATCACTTGTAAGAACTTTCTGTGTTGTTGCTTAATAAATCTACATGTACTACATACAGTAGCAGTAGGTTAACTATATGACTCTATCATTTTTCAGCTTATCAACATTGGGATGCATGGCCTTTACAAAAAGGAAAATAATAAAAATAATAATAATAATGGTTGCAGTAAACCATGCATGTACATAACTTGTATAATGTAAAGGAGAGGATATAAAATCAGTAATAATATTGTAGGATAAACATACCATGGCCAGCATGCCATTTAATATGATTTGGTTAACTTTGGTTTTGGTGAACTAAACTCTTTCTGGAGCTTGGTGTCTTATGAATACCTGGTACTAAAGGTGAGTCTGTCCTCTCATCAGAAGGCAGACTGAGTAATCAGTTAAGGAAATGTCATACATGTTCTGGTTTAAAAGACCATGTCCTAATACTCTGTGTGGTGATACACATCAGCTGCTTTAAACTTCCTGGAATTTAAAATCTTTGTTTCTCATTTCAGGGTATAATGATGGGCTGGCTGACAGCATCAGGAAGTCTGGCCAGAACTTTGGGACCTATCTTTGTCAGCCAGTTTTACCAGAACTTAGGGCCACGGTGGACATTCTCTATAATTGCTGGGGTTGTAGTCGTAACCATTGGCGTCATTATTGGCATGTTTAAAAAGTTGGTACCATATCAAGTGAGATGGAAAAGGTTGTCACCAAGGTGATAAGTAACCGAGGCGATCAGTAACCAAGGTGATAAGTAACCAAGGGGATGAGTCATATTTATATATATTTTTGCACTCTTCATTTTATAACTGCATTCTAGTATATTTGATATCATTTTTTATATTTAGAAGATTGTAATTACCTTCTAATTTCATATATTATTGAATCAAGCAGTTTGTACATAGATACTTTGTAAACGAGACAAATTGTGACTGTCAAGACAGAAGTGTTCAATGCATTGTACAAAAACTCCGTCATGGATCTGTTGTGGTATTACTGTGATAATTTTTATAGCAAATCCTAAATATATATTATTAAATATTAAGTTATAAGGCATTTTATTTGTAACCAGTGGCTGCCTTTTGTCTGTAACAGCACAGATATTTAACAATATAACTGATGAAAATGTTCTGTATTTTATGTGTATAATAAGTGCAGAAAGTTACTCAGTTTTTTTAAATGTTCCGATGCACAACTGAGTCAAGAACAGGCTGCTGTTATGGTGCTAGAAATATTTTAATGCAGAATTTGTAGAATTTACTTGTATATATACATATCTGTTTAGGTGTTCTAGTTTGTGATAAGTATCTACAAAGTGTAAATAATAAATTGATGAAGTTGTAAGACTTTAATCTTTTAATTGAGAAGAGATAGAGTACTACCTAAAATTTGCTTTAATTTGATGGATCACTTACCTGTTTCAATATGGTTAAATTGAATTTGGATTCAAGCATTAATTTAATGGTGATGGTTAAAATGTATTTACACTTTTAATATTTGATATAAATGTTGTACATACAATACTCAATTTTTAAATTAACTGCTGAGCAGAAATGTTGTGTTGAACTGCCAGTTGATTTGGTGGACATATTGATTGTTATTAATAATAACATATGAAGTTTTGATTGGTTTTCAATTCCCTGTCTATATTATTCATTATACATTGTTCATTTTCAAACGATAAGATACAAATATTAATTATGGCAAAACTTGCACTCCCATATACCTCCACCATTGGAAGGTAAATTTTTAAAAAATAAATGTAGGTCTTTGAAATCATTTTGCTATTGCTCGAGGTACTTCTGGTGTAAATATGTTACTCTTCTTGATGTAACCAGAGTAAACCGTATTCATTAGTATTTTATAATTTATAAAACGGTTGCAGCAAATATCAGAGACAACAGCAACTTCTAAGGACATTAATTTATTAAAATTACACATTTCTAAATAACATCTCATTTCTGCTGTATTTTCTTATAAGGCATATGTTTACAGAAGTATAAGGCATATGTTCACAGAAGATCAAGAATTCTTGGAAGAGGGACTAAATTTGTACAATACTAAGATCTCTCTCTCTCATTTTTAAGGGGCTTTCACTCACCAATGTCTTTACTCTCTACGTTGGTCAGTGGTCTATCAAAACCTTAACTGGGTCAGTATACATGAGGAGATATAGGTTTTCTTATACTATACTATAAACTTAATGAGATGTGCTTTTAATTATTTATTGCACATTTTCCTGTTCACAAGGGGGGGGGGAGTTACTCTTTCAAAAGTTGGTGGAAAAAATACTTTTAAATAGATTAATACAAAAATACATGATAACCCAAAGCAGCTCTAGGTCAGTTAATATTCAAAAAAAAAAATAATAATAATAATAAAAATAGTAAAAAAGTAAAAATTTTCCAACAAACAAAAACTACGGCTCAATACGTTCCATCATCTGCAGTTCAGACTGGAAAGAACAGCTACCTTCGTTTAACATGACTAGCAAAATATGCTTTAAACATTAATTAGCAGGCATATAATTATAACAATACTGAAATACACCTGGCCTGACAGTTTGCACAAAGAAAATGTTGATATCAAAATCAAAACATTATCAATTTTCCAATAAAATCCATTCCATACACTTCTTCAACTCTGTATACGTTGAATATTTATTTTTCCTTTCAACCTCCATACACAAAAGTTCAGTGTTATCATCCAAGATGTTACAAAGAGGTCAGGTAATCTGGCTTTCTTGCTTTGTTCACCTCCAGAATGCTCTGACTGATATGTCCTTACCACTATTGACAACTGTATATGACTGGTATACCGTTTATCCTAAGTCCTCAACACACCTGGACAAAAGTCATCTGTTTATGCTCTGCCTGGTACATCATAACTTCTCAACACCTGGACAATGAATGGACAATCACACCACATTAAGTAACTGGACTTCCTCCTCCCCCAGTGGTTTTCTCAGGTGTAAGAACTCCTTAATATTATGCCAAATGCCACGATCAAAGGGGTTGTAGAAATTTCCCTTTCCATCCTTCATGTAGTCGTATCTCTTGTGATTAATTCTCTCATTTGTGGTGATGTTCTTTGTAGCGTGAAATAGCTGGAATGATGAAATATTGCCTAGCATTACACATGGCAGTTTTTTTTTTTTGTTTTTTTTTAGAAAGTAAGTCAATTACATCAAATTCTTTGAAAACTATCAAAAGAGAAAAATTAACCTCTTTATGGATACAGTAATTTACTTTATCAGTAAAGTTGTTAGTAATGGACAAATTTCAGCAAAGCATATTTTACTGGAATATAATCATTGCTATCTTTAATATCCTACAAGAAAAGCCTACTTAACATAAACAGATATTTATTTCTAATGTCTGAAGTCTGTTTGACAAAGCTTCCATTAAGGAATGACATCAAACTTCAGAGCCCCTTTACAATATATCCCTTTCCAATACATTTAATAAATGGCATACAGAGTAAGAATTCACTGTAGATGGTTTTGTGTAACCCACTCCCTAGAATAACTACTTAAGGCAGTGTTAACCAATAAAATCATTTGGAAACTTTACAATTAACCCCCTTACCGCTATCCCAGATACAGATCCCGAAACAATTAGAAAGAACACTGCATAACATAAACAAATCAATTTCTCAAGGGTGGGTGACAGCAAGTCCCCTTCCTGTGTCCACACTGAGGCTGACATGACCATGGTTAGCAGGCCATTCATCCAGATGGTGGTGGCAAATATTACAAAAGATATCCTGGAAATGTGAAGTATAAAATGTCTGCATGCAGTTGCCCTGCAACCAGCACAGGATGATACAGAAGAGGAGGGAGACTGAATTTTGTGGCCCATTTCAAGGTACAGTCTTGCAGGAAAGAGCACCTATTTCTGTTCTGGGAAATGCTATGCCAGATCCTCTTGTCAAAGTATTTCTGCTCTGGTGAAAACTTTACCAGACCCTGTTAGCTAGATACTTTCCAAAATGACTTCTGCACCCAAAGTGGCAAGTCATGAACCAATCTTGGACACTGATATAAGACACTTCTTTCCTACCTAAATCACTTTTTGCATGTGTGGGCTCAACTGGACAACACTCATTTTCCCCCTCCAACTTCTGTATCATCCATAAAGCAGTAAGAAAGGCAGTGCACTCTGAAAGTCTTATTTACATTTGTAAAATGAAAGAATTTTAAAAATACCAAATATTTGTCAGGGATAGGAATAAGTAACAGGTGTTTCCTCTTTCGTGGGTCACGCCACATTTGAACTGCAGACTAGCTAGTCTAAGGATCAACTGGTTGTGAATGTTCCCTTAATCTCCAGTTTGGTCTGGGGACTAGCTAGTCTAAGGATCAACTGGTTGTGAACGTTCCCTAAATCTCCAATTTGGTCTGCAGACTAGCTAGTCTGAGGATCAAGTGGTTGTGAATGTTCCCTACATCTCCAATTTCATATTTTCTTTTTAAATCTGAAGAGCAAGTCAAAGTTAAAATGTCTGAAGTTGTAAATATAACATCCTATGTATCCTGCCTCATCATAAACTAAATAAACCCCCAACCTTTCTAATCCAAATGTAAATGAGCAGACAGAGTGCACTGTGCCTTTCACATGACCTCAAGGATCAGTCAGCTTACCGAGACACTGCTGAGAACAGCTGCCAGAAAAATGAACAGAGTGGCCTCCAGACCCCCAATAATGGTAATGTAATCATCCCACCCATTGGCCTCCAGTATCCAGTAACAGAAGTACAGGGTGATAACACAGTTCACAAACACCAGGCAGACAAACATGGTAAACCAAACCCTATAATCATAAGAAAAATAGAACATAATTCAGGCACAAAATTTAACTATGGGTTTGCACTCACTTCAGTTTTAATGATGATCAAATGAGTGTACTTATTAAGGTATAACTTTATATGGCTATATATGGCTGTGTTCACAAATGAACTAAACTTTAACCACAACGGTAATACCTTTGGTTTAGTTGTGACACAGCCCCTATAGCCTTCTACGATAGGAAATATACTCTAACACTAGAAAAAAAACCCAATAAAATTTTTTTCTGATATGGAGCTATAGCAAAGATACAAAGCAAAAGGAAGAGTGCTATATATGGTTCAGTGCTGGTATCTAAAACAAGAAAAGAAGAAAACACCAATACAAGACAAGGGCACATTCTGATGGAGAATTTGTTGGAGACCCATAAGATCTGATATAATCCCTCAATTTTGATACAAAGTTCTGCTCCAGTTTCACAAAAAAAAAAATAAATAAATAAATAAAAAAGTCATCCCTGGCTTAGTTGACTAGGATGTTCATGAGAGTTCTGCAACACTGTTCCTGATAGGATAAGATGTGACCATGCTGTAACACTGTTCCTGATAGGATAAGTTGTGACCATGTAACAAAGATGTTAGCTACTGGAACTGATTAAGTTTTTTTTTTTTTTTTGTGAAACCAAGGCCTGGGAATAGCTGAGTAGGCTTTAATGGCAGTGTTATTTTTAAAAGCTGATGTAAATATCACGTGAATAACATCATTAGAAAATCAAATTGTATCATTATCAAAATCAGGTAAATTTATTTTTCTCATTGGTATAAGAGATACAGGTGAACTGGGGAAACAGGTGTTTTAGAACTGAAAGACACACAGAAAGTTTCTATTCTAGACATCAGAAGTGTGAAATTAAAATAAATAACCCAATTTTAATAGGATTGTTTATTTTAAGCCCTGTGTTACCCCCTTATGTACCACCGTGCCACAGATATACATGATATCAAATATTGTCTTTTCTTTACATTTGAATTCCCCCTTTTTTCTTCCTTTAGTTTTCATTTCCACCATTCATTAATTTCCAATGGATCATTTTTGGCAAATTTTGTTCATCAGTCTACTGGCCACAGTACTCCGCAGATTTTACCAGTTAATACACCATTACATAGTTTACTCATTAACACTTAAATATGTGGACATATGTAACAAATCTTCATTGTTATTAAAATAATATAGAGAAGCTCTTAAGCAGCAAATAATCAAAAGCATGATAAAATAAAATAAAGCAAGCTGTGTGTTATTGCCAGCCGAGAAGTCTGCTTTACTGTGCATCAGTTCTACATATATACACCCTCAGTGGAGATATAGGGGGTGTAAGGTAAGCATACCTCTACCATCCACATGCAGCTAAAATGTTCACTGCAAGCACATGTATGGTGAAGGTAAGTCACTGTCAGTACGCTGAAGCCAGAGTGTTTTATGTGAACAAGATGTAACATTTTTCAGAAGTAGTGACTGTTGCAAGATTAAGAGTAATGACTCTTCCCAACTGTAAGCTTGAATGGAGACCTTAGTCCACATGAATGGAGAGAAAATACTGGCAATGGACAAGATTAATTTGGTATCTGAATTAATATATCATGGTCCATTCATACACTGAGAAGACCAAGACCCTAGATACCACTTCTTTCAACAGAGTTACCGTTATCAAAACTCCTCCCTCTCTCTGCCGGCACCTACCTGTTATTATAGCCCACGCAGTTGTAGATGTATGGGCAATGGTGGTCAAACTCACTCACACAACGCTGACATATCCTACAGTGCTTGGAGCGAAGTGGTTTAACTGTACGACATGTGTGACATAGACGACTTAGAGGGTTCTTTCCATGCTTCCACTCAGCAAAGTGAGCCACCTATTACATATTTATAAAGATATATATATATAGAGAGAGAGAGTTATACATGGAGAAACAGATAAATGTATATAGTAATACATGCAGTCATTGTGAATTGATTCACAGTCAATTTGAAGTTTCATGTAAAAATATAGTTGGATCAGAACTACTTCAAAGTTAAATTTGAAAGTGGATCTTTCAGTTAAAATAATTGACTTGCTCAATGGTATCACACTGCATTCTCTCTACATGGTATATATATATATATATATATANCTAAGAATTGAATCTGAGGAAATGTGAAAAAAACAGCATAACTTCTAAAATAATGCCCCGATTATGCTGATTTTCGAACTCAACCTGCGTTTTAGTAAGATTGACCATTCCTGTGAGTTAAATGACAATTGGCCAATCTATTTTTCTTATATTGTGTTTACAGTGTTGCATATATGCTGAAAAATGAAAAAACAGCATAACTACTAAAATAGTGGTCCGATCATGCTGATTTTCGAACTTGACTTGCGTTTTAGTTAGATTGATTACTCCTGTGAGTTTCATGACAACAGGCCTAACTGTTTTCCTTAAAATGTGTTTACAGGGTTGCATATATGCTGAAAAGTGAAAAAACAGCATAACTTCTACAATAATGGTCCGATTATGCTGATTTTCGAACTTGACCTGCGTTTTATGAATATTCATCAGCTCTGTAAATATAAAGCCAAAAAGTAAAACTGCCCTCCACTTATCGTGTTTACAAGGAAAGTGCACGGCGCCGACGGCGACGGCGGCGACGACAGACGCAGGTGATGGCAATATGTACAGACACATCTGTGTCTGTACATAAAAAAAAAACATGGCTCCAATTACCATCCCGAAAGGAGCCTCATTGTGGTACCCAACAGATGTGAATTATGTCACTGCCTCCATGCCAAAACAAGACACCAGTATTACACCATTCCATATTTATTGACATTTAGCCAATCAAATAACAAGATTTTTGCTCCTTGAATGATAACACAGCAATGAATATAATATCTCAGTTCAAATGTGTGTATTAACATCACAGTTTAAACGGAATCACAGGTTACACCCTGTCAAATATTAACCTGGAAAAACATCCAGCTTACTAGTATAAAATTTTTCAATGGAAAACAAACTCATCAATTTAGGTTGATGACATTGTTAGAAGAATAACATTTGTCTTGACCCAAATACTATTCAAATTGACTAGAAGGATTTGACTTACATCATTTCCAAATAATTTAACAAGAGTTATTATATTATGTTAAAAAAGTCAATAATTACTTTTTGCATTGAATCTAAACATCAATTATCATAATATAAATATAATAAAATACAATTCAACAAGAAATTTCTAACACAACAAAACTACCATCTTCCTTCTCCCTTACCTTATAAATGTACATTGGGTAACCCCAGAATATTGTGTTCACAATGAAAAATAGTAAAGGCATTTTACTATTTCCAGGAGGACCAAAGATTATAGACCTAAAAAGAAAATGGGTATCATTAGATGAATCAAAAATAAATGATTCCAAACTATTTCAATAAAAACATATAAATCAAGAAAAGGGGTAATTTTCATCTTGATGTCTGTGGTCCCTGCTGCAATATTTTCTGGGAGTTCATGTCCATTTAGTGAATGCTTTAATTAAACCTGAAAGTACTATGATATAAAACTGAATTAGTCACAGAGAGAAGTAATGTAACATCATCCATACATATAATCCTCCTCTTGTTTCACAGGCTTGGTGAGAGCTTTCTCGTGGCTCTTAATGTTCTCAACAGGTTTAGAAGTCTCAGTTTTTTCCCCCTGGTTTATCTCCAGTGTCACCTGACATGTCTGTGACGTGTCACTCTCCTCAGCTCCCAGTGAGATATGACTGGCCAGTGACACTGTGGGGGACACTGTGACACTCAGCCCCATGTTGGTGATGTCACGTTTGACGACTTCCATCCATCTGGACCGCGTGTGTCTCCTACCATAGGAACTGACCCAGCGATGGATTTTATGTGGTAGATGGTCCTTGTCCATCACCTCTGTAGTTGACAAGTTTTCTTTACGGATGTTTACTATATTCTCTCACTCTTTTCCAGTTGATTTCAAGCTCTTTTCATTACTGTTCTCCCTCCAAAGTACTTTCCGAGTGCTCTTCAACACAACTTCAAAGATGAGCTGATATTGATTTCAGATTGATTTTTAAGGCTCCTCAAAGTGTAGCATAATGTAATGCAGTTACTTATAATAATATCATATTTAGGACTGGGGCACTTGCTGACCAATTAAACACCAGTGCTCAATATTTTGTCCAAAATCAATACTTTCCTTCCAGTCAAATACTCTTTTTAATTATATCAGTAAATAAAATAAATTCAAACAACAAATATGCCATCAAAAATTATCATCATAAATATTATTAATATGATGCATCTGAGAAAGAAAGGGGCAAGGGGCTCCTGGGCAATTTCCTAACTACAAGGAAACTGTGCAGATCAATTGGAATTAGTGTGTCTTAGTTAAGTAGCAGCACTGTATTTAGTGAACAGATGGGCAACATTCCCATCACATTGGCAACACAGTCTCAGCATAATCATTTGGACATTGCAGTATTTCTTTCTCAATTCAAGCTTAATCAACTGATTCCATTTCCAAAAGGTAAAATTATATTAAATTTTCTTAGTGAAAAAATGTGATTAAAAAATGCTACAAAAACGGTTGGGCTCAGAGAGGGCATTTTGTAAAACTACTAGTAGTCATTTTAAGGAGGTGTCTTTTGGCAGGGAATTCAACAGAGACATCATGTGCACTGCTGTGGAGTTAAACCGCAGAAACAACCAGTGTGATAATGGTCCGATACATATGAGCAAAATCAATTTATTATATTTCTTCAAACAAAATGGTTTGAAAGCCCTGAGAGGCTGTTGAGATATCTGCTTGACCGTGAAAAAGACTTATCATGAGGAACTATATTATAAGGTGAGTAAGGTGGCATTATGTACTATATCCCTAGTAAGCTACACTGATATAAGAAAATGCCTGCTTTGAAATATATATAATATATATATATATATATATATAATCATTCCTTGGCTCTTATAGAGGCATTGATATTCTTAGCTTATATTGTGCACCTAAAATGTTATCTCAAAGTAATCACAACTTTAGAATTAATCTAATTGTCAGAAAGCAGCAAAATAATTTAACTTATGAACAGTTCTTTACTTGTACAGTATGAAAATACTTACCAAAAATCTATTCGTGGTAAAAAGCTACTTTTGTTTTTGATGAGGTTTGTTAGGTAGTAGACAATTTCTTCGTGCTTTCTGCCTCTTGCTAACATCAATGGCGTCTTGTTATTATTGTCTGCTATGTCTATTTCCACACCATCCTAAGGAGGGAACAACACAGATCATGTTTTAATTAGCTGTCATATATTATATAATGTCATATATCATATGAAATAAATACCCTGTAAAAGCAATCTTGAATAAAAATGTCCAAAAGTCTCAAAAACACAAGTTGTCAACCAAAACAGCAAACAAGGAGGGAAAGCCTCTTCCACCCCTGAAATTCCATTTGAAAGTTGGTAAACTCTTTTTTCTCAGAAAGATAAATAAATCCTCATGGTAGAAAAGTCTGATCCCAGAAAAAAGGAAATAAAAAATCCAACATGTGCAGGGGCGGATCCAGAGATATTTTCTGACAGTTTTCCAAATTATCTTTGTTGATCCATCCTCCAATTTTGACCATCTTCCGAAAAAAAAATTACATACCCATCAATGTAGACTGAAAAGTCTGACATTTTCTGGAAGACTGCCCCAATCCGCCCCTGATGTGCCAAAGTAAACCATGTCTTACCTGTTCACTGAGTTCTTTGACAGAGGTTAAGTCTCCACTGATACAGGCCAGGTGGAGGGGTGTCTGACCATAGTTGTCCTTCTGTTTTGGGTTGAAGCCAGAGTATATCAGGAGACGCATTAATTCTGAATGACCTAAATATGGAGAATATGATATATTGTATATGAGAGAGAGAGAGAGAGAGAGAGATGGAGAGAGAGAGAGATGCCATCTGGTTTTTGCACTGCTGTCATAACAACTATGACAAGTAGAGGGTCATGTTTACAATATAAGACTGTCAGATGTCAGTGGAATTTAAGGTTAATAAAAAAGAAAGCAAACCAATATGTAGAAAACACCTGAACATGGTCTCAGTCAGTCCATGAAATACATACCTTTAAATGCTGCCCAGTGTAATGCATTATCTCCATCCTTATCACAGATTTGTAGTCTTGCACCTTTCCCCATAAGATAACCTGCTAACATAGTTTTTCCATACTGTGCTGCTGCTATGAGGGGTGTCACCCCCTTATTATCAGTCACATCAATAGACACACCTGTCTGGACTAGAATATCCACAATTGCAATATGTCCATTAACACAGGCCCAGTGGATGGGGTGAGCACCTAATTCATTCTCACTAGGTTCGTCGATTGGTCCCTTCATTTCTATAATGTAACGTAAGATATTTGTGTGTCCTCCTAAGCAGGCCCAGTGGGCTGGGGTGTGACCTTTATCATCCCTTGTTTTTAACATCTCTGGCTGCATTTCCACCACATTCTGTAGAGGTATTAATAACCTGGAATAGGAGACAGATACATGGCTTATCACACACAGAAAAACATGTATGCTTTTTCTTCAAGTATTAACTCAAAGACTAAAGTATCCACTCGGAAAGTTAAAATATGTAATTTGTAAAGTATAATAGCATCATTTTAAACTTCATTCGTAGATAATATATATTCATCAATTCAGTGTAAGATAGCTTTCAATATGTTCATTTACACTACATATCATGTTTCCATCAGCTTTATTAAGATCATTCCAATAGGTTGAGTGCATGGCAATATATAGCCTTGAAAACGTCATTTAACAAGGGGGAAGCGAACTGCACATTTTGATAGATAGATATATCAGTACTGTACATATACCTGTGAACATATACCAGTACACATACCATTCTATATTTTTATAACACTTTAATAACACAATGACAGAACATTCAAATTAAAGCATCTGGTTTATCCATTATTTAAACAAGCCTTCAGAACTGTGCAAACTTTTCGGTGTTTGCATAGCAGGTGCGACGCCGTTAGAACGAAAATTCTTACTTTTAATAAAACAGGGTACCAGAAAGTTTGACCCCAGATACAGAAGGTTTTGACATTTTGACCGAAACAAGATCAAGCTTGCTTTCGCGCGAAGTTCATCATCTGGCGCAATAATTAGCCCACGCCCCTCTCAGCGTCCTGTTACTATAATTTGGGATGGTCTCCATGGACATCTACACTCCACACTTACCCTGCTTTTATTATTTCAAAGAGACTCGGTGGTTTGTGGCCATTAGGATTTGATTGTTGTGACGCCGGTTTTCCTGCTAAGAAGGGCAAATTTGGCATTTTGTCAAGGCCAAGCGGAACAATCAGGTCTGTTTTGGCCCGGTCAATCTCTTGATTCATTTTGTTGGTCGCCATGATGCCTGGAAGTACCGAAATCTGAAACAAAATTTTTGCAAATTATTAAACTTTGCATTAAAACTAAGAAAAACATTTGATCTGGAATTTTATGAGTAAAATGAACGAATAAGTCAAATAATATAGAAATCGTATTTTATAATTAGCAGGCATTATAAATAACCGCAGCATGAGTCTTTGTTTTTTTTTCTTATGACCAGTGGTGACATCTATCGAAAAGTCAGGACGGAAGAATGGCAGCAGCGATGGAAATAGACGACGAGGTACAATCATCAAATGCTGCCGATAAATCAGGGAGTAAGAAGAGGTTTGAAGTAAAAAAGGCAAGTAAAGGTCCTATCTAGATAGTAGGCTGATAAAAGCCAAGTTTTTTATGACAAAGTCCGAATAGGGGAGTTAAATATTGATCTGATAAAACGCTGTCAAGTTGTTTTTTCAATAATTGAAAGTTTGACGCGAGCCTCATGAGTAAGCGTCTTAAATAAGAGCTTGTTCACTTGTCGTATTTTCAGGCGGTTAACCTTCTGTTTTATTTAAATAATCTGAAATGCCATCAAGACTGACAAATACATGATAATAAAGGAGACAGTGTGATAAGATATAGTTACTAGTGAGGTTTCTATTTTGAATTTTTTATTGTTTGAACTTGACGTGAATCAAATCCATTTCACACAATCCGCTTTGAGACTACCCCAACATCAAGTGCTTTTAGCAAATTAATTAATCAAAAGTAGATAGTAAAAAAACAGTCAGATGATTGCATATTGTTACTATTTTTATCATTTTTATTTTCAGTGGAATGCTGTAGCACTGTGGGCTTGGGGTGAGTTCTTCAAAAGTTCTGAATGATTTAGAGATGGAAGTCTTAGCATGTATATATATTTGTATTTATACCCCTGGACCCCCATGTAGAAGATTTCTTCAAAAGACACACTTTAATCTGTGATGATTGATAAAAAATAGTGGGAAATGTTTGAGTTTAGCTCTCTATCGTACAATCTTTTCTAATATGTAACATATACTTTTAATATCACTTAACACTAAAACTTTTGTTTTCTTTCAAATTACTGTTTTTCTTTTTATCAAGAGCTTGTAAAATATGTGGGTATTACCTCCAATATTTCTGATGATGGTGACTGACAGTCACAGAAATATTGGAGGTAATACCCACATATTTTACAAGCTCTTGATAAAAAGAAAAACAGTAATTTGAATTTATACATACAGAGCTAATGAAACTGTTCTCTCATTTTGTTTTCTTATTTAGATATTGTTGTGGACAACTGTGCTATTTGTAGGAATCACATTATGGATCTCTGTGAGTATATAGAACTTGCACTCCAGTGATTTATCACAAATTAACATGGATTAATGTTAATTATTTTTGTAAGACAGAATATGAGGTATAGAGTTATGTTTGTTAAACTTTCTAATATGTAAGAGGCAAGTCTTAGTTGAAGTATGTATTCAGTGACACCATCAGTTCTTGTGTACCCTCTTTTAATAAAGTAGAAGTGGATTACAGTTACTCCTCTTCATGTAAAGTGTATCATTAATGTCAATGTTTGATAATTCTAGGTATAGAATGCCAAGCCAACCAAGCCTCAGCTACCAGTGAAGAATGCACAGTAGCCTGGGGAGTGTGTAATGTAAGTACACTGTATGAATACACAGACAGAAGCCTGGGGAGTGTGTAATGTAAGTACACTGTATGAATACACAGACAGAAGCCTGGGGAGTGTGTAATGTAAGTACACTGTATGAATACACAGACAGTAGCCTGGGGAGTGTGTAATGTAAGTACACTGCATGAATACACAGACAGTAGCCTGGGGAGTGTGTAATGTAAGTACACTGTATGAATACACAGACAGTAGCCTGGGGAGTGTGTAATGTAAGTACACTGTATGAATACACAGACAGTAGCCTGGGGAGTGTGTAATGTAAGTACACTGTATGAATACACAGACAGTAGCCTGGGGAGTGTGTAATGTAAGTACACTGTATGAATACACAGACAGTAGCCTGGGGAGTGTGTAATGTAAGTACACTGTATGAATACACAGACAGTAGCCTGGGGAGTGTGTAATGTAAGTACACTGTATGAATACACAGACAGTAGCCTGGGGAGTGTGTAATGTAAGTACACTGTATGAATACACAGACAGTAGCCTGGGGAGTGTGTAATGTAAGTACACTGTATGAATACACAGACAGTAGCCTGGGGAGTGTGTAATGTAAGTACACTGTATGAATACACAGACAGTAGCCTGGGGAGTGTGTAATGTAAGTACACTGTATGAATACACAGACAGTAGCCTGGGGAGTGTGTAATGTAAGTACACTGTATGAATACACAGACAGTAGCCTGGGGAGTGTGTAATGTAAGTACACTGTATGAATACACAGACAGTAGCCTGGGGAGTGTGTAATGTAAGTACACTGTATGAATACACAGACAGTAGCCTGGGGAGTGTGTAATGTAAGTACACTGCAGGGCAGGCACGTTTTTATGAGATGTGTGTTAACATGATGTGTTTAATGTGTACAATTGTTAATGCTTCCAATCTGATGCAGTCTTGGATGAATTCAATCATAATACACTGACATGATGGCACTGATGTTGTATTTCTTTCCTTTCAGCATGCTTTTCATTTCCACTGCATCTCCAGGTGGCTGAAGACCAGACAGGTGTGTCCTCTAGACAACAGAGAGTGGGAATTTCAAAAGTAAGTGACATTGTGTTTGTTGAGATTAGTGCAGCTAAGTGTTGAGATTGTGAGGGGAAAACTGGAATTGTTGTAGATGTGTTTGTTGAGATCAGTGCAGCCAAGTGTTGAGATGGTGATTGGTGTGAGAATAACTATTATATTATACTGAAAGTTAATTCGAACATTTTTGTTAATTGAAATTTTCCAACATTTGAAATTTTTGTATCTGATACACTGAAGAAATTGGTCTAAAATTACCCTTATTTTTTTTCCAGATATGGTCACTAATTCATCTCAACTTTACCCAAGATTAAACAAGCTCTTTTATATTTACCAGAATGCATCATTAAAGAAAGACGGTGTACAAATCTGGGGCCCTTTTTTTTTTTTTTTTTAATATATATTTACAGTATGAGGAAAGCACTAAGAGGTTGGGTGGGTCAATATGTTCTCTGAAAAGTATCCAGAAGGAAATAAAAAAAAGGAGCTAATAATTATTTCAAATACTGAAATAATTATTTCAAATACTGAATTACTTTAAAATATATAACATTATCAGCGTACTTGGTGATTGCTCTACAGTTATGATTAAAGCCATTTTTTTTATTGTCTTTTAATCAACTTGATGGTAACAGCTTGATAGTTAATGCCATTAGGGAATTTCCATCAAAGTGATTTCCATGTTAGTCAAAATACCAAATGGCTCATGTGAACTTGTGTATATGTTTATTTTGTATCTGGTATATAAACCTATACCAGTTGAAATAAAATCATTAAAGAGGATGTACCTGTTTTCATATGTTAAAGGTTGTTACCAAGTCTGAAGTGGTTAATGGGTTTCGGCGTAGGCATCTCATGACATCTAGAATTCAAGGAAATTAAGTGTGCCCTAGGCTTTCAGTTCTGAGAACTCTTCCATGGCAGTTTGTTGCTTTGTTGTGTACATAATATTTTAAAAAAATGAAAATATAAGATTGGACTTCAAACTTCTTATTTTGGTGGTCAAGTACACAAAAAGACCAAAATGAAGTGTAATAAATGTCCTGTTAATAATTCCTATACTTGATCTTTAATCTGAGATGCTGTGATGTAACGTCATACAACTAAATGACACTTTGGCATTTTCTGAGGTTTTAATGTTGATATTACCAATCAGTTTATGCCCCAGTTTCTAGTCATTCCAGAGGCTGTCAATCGACAAAATACAGCTTTCTCGGATGAGTTCAAACAACCAACACAGAATGTTATGGATCCACCTTTTTTTAACGTTATCAGTCATGAGATTAGTTTATGGTGCCAAACCGCAGGACATTAAAACACTGTTACAGATGATAATTAGTGCTTATTTTGATCTAGGAAGTCTGTTTATGTAATGCTGCCCTGTCATTGGAATCTAGGAAAATAAATGACACCAACCGTCCGTTGATATCACTGTGATGTCTTGTTATGTGACGCCACAAGCATTTAGGATTCAATTAATTTTGACTTCCTTTGACAAGAAGAAGTGTTGTTGCTCGAGTCCACAGGTAACCAAAATTGATTACCAAAGATGTTCATTCAAGTGTTTCCTTGTAAAAACGGAACAAAGAACTTCAAATAATCCTTCTTACGATGTGATTCTTTGTGTGGTGCTGTGTTCTTTTCTCTTGATAATATTAAAGAAGTTTTGCTTTTCTTGAGAAAAAAAAACTTTCCTTAAAAATCATCTAGTAATCAGTGTCCATCATAGAGTAGTGCCTGTAAGTTCAGTTCTGATGTCAGTCCTAGACCCCATTCCCACAAATTTTAGATCGATCTATCCCTGTGGGGAGTCTCAGTAGATTACTGTCAGTTTAGCCGGCTTAAATGTCTCTCCCGCCTACTAAAAGCTGTAAGGGGGTAATTAACTACCGTGCGCGCTCGGCTGACAGCAATTTAGCATGAACCCCCAGGGAGTTGGGTCAATCTAGATGGATCGATCTAAATCTATGGGAATGCACTCCTAGAGACCATTCCCAGAGATTATCGTACTAACTCTGGCTCGAACTTCTCAGAGGGGATTCTCGCTTAATTGCAATTAACTTGGGCGGCTTAAATGTCTGTCACGTCTGCTGAGGCTGATAGGGGGTAATATTAACTATTGTTTAGCAGCTTTAGTAGGCGTCTCAGACATCTAAGTCACTAAAGCTGAAAGCATTTAACGAAAGACCCCGTGGAGATGGACCGATCCTGTTAGATTGATCTAGGGATGGGAACCCAGTCCTGGAGGTAAGCCTTGCCCAGTAAGGCAAAACATTCATAAATTATCTTTTATATCTTATTTCTTAATGAAGTGATAAATTTATTTCTAATCCTGTAAATATAATATTATTTAAATAATTTGCGTTACTTTCATCAACCGATTGGCATATATGCCTAAATGACGACAACACATAACGTCCTAAGCAATAGAATCACATGAAAATACACCAATATAGAAATAGACAGATGACGGAGTTTGCATATGTTTGGTTGTGAAAGTAATGCTGTAATGTCCCATGTAAACGTTTGTCATCCAGATCTAAGCGGAGCACCCATTAACCCTGCCTGTCAAGTAGGTTCTAATACAATACAACCTAAAGATTTAGTTCTAAGATTATAACTGAGGACACGTTCTTGGATTCTGAGAATTACAGAAGAATAAACAGCAATTAGGGCAATTAGCTGTGGTCTGAAGTGTGCCTTTATTTAATCCCTAAAGAGTTCGCTTCCGTCAAAAATTGTTAACGCTACCGTCGCTACACATAATTCACGTCAGACATTTTCGTATATGCGATGCACTACGCCTTACTCTCTTAGTTGCCATTATAAAGCAAGTCTTGTAAATATTTGATATAACATCAATCTAATGCAAAGTATTTATTTCACATCTTTCGATCCTAGATGGTGTCACATTTTTATCTAAATATATCGATTTTGTACACATAATGATGGCAACTTAAGTCTGCCATTTTTTACATCAAGTTACCAAAACCTCCAGGTAATTCGTTCTAGACGTTGTACCCCCTGCTGTTAATTCGTCCTTCAGAAAATTCATATCCGGACAGAAACGGCATACATTCGTACCTGTAAGTGTTTGGTATACCACGGCTTCCCGCCTAATATATACCACATCACGGCTATAACGAGGTATTCACGATATTAGACCAGAAGTGGCTTTGATTAAGTAAAGTGCATGGAGCAGTGTTGTGCTGTCTAGTAATAGTTATCTATATGGCATGTTAACCTATCTGATATGAGTTGATCACTCTCCCATAGGAGTCAAGATTAAGCTAGGCTGCTGATTGTGGGATTGTGTGTGTGTGAGGGGGGGGGAGGGCAAACAACAATTTCCTGGCATCATCGTTGTACTTGGTATTCATAGACAAACTATGATCTGTACATGTTCTACTACTCATAAACCATCACTGATTTAAGTCTCAAATTCAGACGTGCCCTCTGGATATAGCCTTCACCCCCCCCCCCCCCCATCTCCGACAGTAACATACTTACCTTGCATCCTATTTCAACAAAATGTGCATTTTGAACACGGGTACCGGTAGCAAACCGGTCATTTGCAAAAGCGATAACAACGCCTGGTTCGGGTTTAAAAAGTTAATAAGACAATTCTATTTATAGTTTAAAAAGATAAGCAAAATTTCTCAAACTGCCGCATGACGTGCCTGTATATTTCAACTTTCTCGACAATTCCGACAGACCCCAAATAGAAAGATATCTAAGCAAAACAAGTCCTGTTTTTATTACTGAACCGTCCAGTCCTCGCAGAGACTCTGGTGCCCTCACCTCCTTCCAAAATAACACGCAACTTACCACTTCAGAATCACTTTTTATTTGAACATTGCACATTACATTGTCTAAATATTTGTATCAAATTTTTAATATTTCATCAATGCAGTATAAAACTGAAACATCATAAATGGAGCGAGGTGATGTAAAGACTCAGATATTGGCCCACAGCTGCACTATGCTTGTTGGTGATGTAAAGACTCAGATATTGGCCCACAGCTGCACTATGCTTGTTGGTAAAGTAAACAACGTTCTGAAAATCACTTTTTCCTCCATGAAATTAATCAGCAAAATGCAAAGTGACGGAGATAAACTACCCGTAATAATTTGCAGTTAAACGCACGCAAAATGTACGTTATTCCTTATTGTTATTGTTCTGTACATCCAAGGTTACTTTGTTGAAATGACATTGGGGTAATAACCAATGGTAATCATAGCACAAAACCTATACATAATGAAACAGTTCTTCCAAGTTTCCGGCTTTTAACCGATTAAAGGGTGCATATTCAATGTTGTTATAAAACTAGAAATAATTTTGTGTAGAGCGGGGTTGTAACGTGTAGTCTGTATGAAATGAACCATCAAAGGCTTAGGCACTGGTACCTACATAATTAAACCAGGGGCCATGCATTTCAGAAAAATAAGATTATTAAAAAATAATCCATTTACAAGTATGAATCGCTAGCAAAGGAAATGCATTAATGTCAGCGCAAACCCTTTGATTAATTGTACCAAGACGGAGCAAGAAGGGTTCTCAGTTGTCTTATGAAACGGTCCTTTCTAGACAAATCCTGGCCAGAAAGTTCGAATCAAGGAGGTATCATTTTGGTTACGTTGTTAAAGGGTATGTGTGTATAATCTATCCAGTCTGTCATCTAAAACCATAACATTTGTCTTCGGGATATTGTCATCTACGTCAACGGAAACGTTAAACCAGCTCCTGTTGCTCTAATATTGCCATTGAATTCTTGCTTTATCTCGTTACCAGGAGAAAAAAAACACACCGTAATTGAAAGATCTATCATTAAACCACCTCACCTGTCTTCCATTTACCTGTATAACACACCTGACATTGCAAGAGTGTGAACAAACAACTTATCACACACACACATACACACACACACACACACGATACATAAACTTCAGTGCTTTTGTTGTATATATGTCGTGTAAATTAAAAGGGACAAAATGGACATCATATTGAAGATATTGTTGATCGCTTTTAGTAGTCTTAATCAAACTTTATTACAGTAATAGGGCTATTTATTTTTGAACCGACTTTTGAGGTTGTTAGTTACAAAATTCGGTACAATAGGGTTTTCATTGCCCCATGTCGTAGATCCCATCTATATCTACGATGACATCCTCGGCTCTCATGCTCTGGGGTGCGTGGCGACAAGTCGACGCTATATACGACTTGCATTATTCGAAAGGTGCGATGTGCGCATGACCGGAATTGTGCACTGCAGGGGTCAAAATAGTACCGGAAGCGTTGTTGACAGCGATAAGAACACGTGATGAAAGCATAAGACATGCCGGGGGCGATATTAAACAAGCCATTTGAGGCGACAGAGGTGCCAGAGTTGAAAAGTTGGTTAAAATGAAGGATGCCCACACATCAGGCATAAAAGAAGAGCTGATAAAAAGGTATGTTACACGATATCTTCTTAAATACAAGACCAAATACAAAACCCTAATGTGGTCATTATGTAATTATGTTCACCTAAGTCATTTATTGGGGAGATAAATTTGTCACCTGGTTCAGGCAATTATCTGATACAATCTCTGAGGTGGGCTAGCGCACTGTACAGGTATTTAANCGTCTTCCCGCCTAATATATACCACATCACGGCTATAACGAGGTATTCACGATATTAGACCAGAAGTGGCTTTGATTAAGTAAAGTGCATGGAGCAGTGTTGTGCTGTCTAGTAATAGTTGTGCTATATGGCATGTTAACCTATCTGATATGAGTTAATCACTCTCCCATAGGAGTCAAGATTAAGCTAGGCTGCTGATTGTGGGATTGTGTGTGTGTGAGGGGGGGAGGGCAAACAACTGGGTATGGGTATTCATAGACAAACTATGATCTGTACATGCTCTACTACTCATAAACCATCACTGATTTAAGTCTCAAATTCAGACGTGCCCTCTGGATATAGCCTTCACCCCCCCAACCCCCACCCCCACCCCCATCTCCGACAGTAACATACTTACCTTGCATCCTATTTCAACAAAATGTGCATTTTGAACACGGGTACCGGTAGCAAACCAGTCATTTGCAAAAGCGATAACAACGCCTGGTTCGGGTTTAAAAAGTTAATAAGACAATTCTATTTATAGTTTAAAAAGATAAGCAAAATTTCTCAAACTGCCGCATGACGTGCCTGTATATTTCATTTTTCCCGACAATTCCGACAGACCCCAAATAGAAAGATATCTAAGCAAAACAAGTCCTGTTTTTATTACTGAACCGTCCAGTCCTCGCAGAGACTCTGGTGCCCTCACCTCCATCCAAAATAACACGCAACTTACCACTTCAGAATCACTTTTTATTTGAACATTGCACATTACATTGTCTAAATATTTGTATCAAATTTTTAATATTTCATCAATGCAGTATAAAACTGAAACATCATAAATGGAGCGAGGTAATGTAAAGACTCAGATATTGGCCCACAGCTGCACTATGCTTGTTGGTAAAGTAAACAACGTTCTGAAAATCACTTTTTCCTCCATGAAATTAATCAGCAAAATGCAAAGTGACGGAGATAAACTACCCGTAATAATTCGCAGTTAAACGCACGCAAAATGTACGTTATTCCTTATTGTTATTGTTCTGTACATCTAAGGTTACTTTGTTGAAATGACATTGGGGTAATAACCGATGGTAATCATAGCACAAAACCTATACATAATGAAACAGTTCATCGAAATTTCCGGCTTTTAACCGATTAAAAGGTGCATATTCAATGTTGTTATAAAACTAGAAATAATTTTGTATGTAGAGCTTGGTTGTAACGTGTAGTCTGTATGAAATGAACCATCAAAGGCTTAGGCACTGGTACCTACATAATAAAACCAGGGGGCCATGCATTTCATAAAAAAAATAATAATCCATTTACATGTATGATTCGCTTGCAAAGGAAATGCATTAATGTCAGCGCAAACCCTTTGATTAATTGGACCAAGACGAAGCAAGAAGCTTCTCATTTGTCTTATGAAACGGTCTTTTCTAGACAAATCCTGGCCAGAAAGTTCGAATCAAGGAGGTATCATTTTGGTTACGTTGTTAAAGGGTATGTGTGTATAATCTATCCCGTCTGTCATCTAAAACCATAACATTTGTCTTCGGGATATTGTCATCTACGTCCACGGAAACGTTAAACCAGCTCCTGTTGCTCTAATATTGCCATTGAATTCTTGCTTTATCTCGTTACCAGGAGAAAAAAACACACCGTAATTGAAAGATCTATCATTAAACCACCTCACCTGTCTTCCATTTACCTGTATAACACACCTGACATTGCAAGAGTGTGAACAAACAACTTATCACACACACACACACACATACACACACACACACATACACACACACACACATACACACACACACACACGATACATAAACTTCAGTGCTTTTGTTGTATAGGCCTATATGTCGTGTAAATAAAAAGGGACAAAATGGACATCATATTGAAGATATTGTTGATCGCTTTTAGTAGTCTTAATCAAACTTTATTACAGTAATAGGGCTATTTATTTTTGAACCGACTTTTGAGGTTGTTAGTTACAAAATTCGGTACAATAGGGTTTTCATTGCCCCATGTGGTAGATCCCATCTATATCTACGATGACATCCTCGGCTCTCATGCTCTGGGGTGCGTGGCGACAAGTCGACGCTATATGGAGACACTTTGATGAAGGCTCGAAACATCATCCATCATAGGGGAATAAAACACACGTAATGGAGAACGATTTACCTTTTTACAGCCATAGTTATCCATCAACAATTAGATAACCTAGACAAGACATGAAGCAGTCTTTGTCATATTCATGCAATGTACGTTACGGTCGCATAACTCTGTCTATGTGAAGCAGCCACCATGCTGGGTGCAGGTGATGGTATTGGACTGGTAATGGATGGGTGTAATGTCTAGAACAACGCACCTGTACAGTGAGGTCACCAGGTCACATGTGTTCATTAACAAGAAAAACAGCAATTAAGTCAAGAGCAGCGAGAAGTCAACAAAACTTTTTTGTTTGAACATCTTCATAGACTCCAAGTAATTACCTTCGACCCAAGGCTGCAATTTTTACGAATGCAGTTGCTTTGTTTTTCTGTCATTCCAGTAAGCGCAGGCTGGGGCAAATGTTTCACAGTCAATCAATAAGCTGTTATCTAAATATGTATTCAATTTTCATCGAATTTTCTATCAATACCGGTCACTTTATGTAATAATACATGTTGCTATTGATTATAAAATAATAGACAAAAACATTATACCAGTATAGTGACTTGATAAGAACCTTTTTCGACCCATCCCCCCGCATTCTATTTGGGGTTCGTCTGAATACCCTCATTCTGCTTTATATCATCTGGTGGTACTCACTCACAAGCAGTCCAAGTCAGTTTACAATTCATCGATATTTTGGGGGGGGGGGGGTGTAAGTTAAACACGATGTGAACGGGGCATTTATGTAAACACCCATCATGCTCGGTATAATTGTTGGCACTGCTGCGGATGCACTGTACTGGGAAACATCGCCAGCAATATTGCAATTAAAGGGATGATTGTGAACATCTTTCTCTATTATCATACATGTACCTGTATAGTTTATTATGGCGATTTGATTTAATTCAGTAAAAAATAGTAAAACGGTTTTGGTTGCTTTTATCAAGGAGTTAAAACTGTTGTAACTCCTTGCTTTCATGTATTTATTTGCATTATGGTAGACTGATGTACTATTTCTAAGCCATTTCATGTGGTTTTTATCAGAGACAGCCGAGAGTGGTGCATTGTCTACTGATGTTATAACGAAAAGAACCAAAGGATCTGAGGAGTAGCACACTGCATAACAATATGATGGGAATAAACAGTGCATTGCTCAACATGAGAAAATCTATCGACTGTCATATTTAATATATTGCGGACTTGAAATAGCGCGATTTCATAGTAATGTTATTAGATAATAGACATATGGTTGCCAATAGCTGCAGCATTAGTCATGAAGTTTATTCTATTAAAATATCAAGCACAAATTACCATCACAAAATGCATGCACAATCACCTATAAAAACTCTTTTTCCCAGAAGGCTGAACTTGGACGTGCCTGCTTCAAATAAACAACCGAATATTATCTCGACATAATGGGCAGTTCTCAGAATAGAACCATCAAGGCAACACGGCACAAGAAAAGCGTCATTTTCGCTGTTGTAAAGTGTTGATGGTTTTGTAGGTGTCTGACATCATAGTTTTAGAAGAAAACCAGGAACCAGTGACAAAAGTGACACATTTCTAACTTTACAATTATCTGCACTGCCTGTCTCATGACAAACCAGTTCCGAGAATCCAAAACCGTCAACATGCCACGAACTGCATCAAGTCTTTGTGAAATCCATTAGACTTTGCACTGCGTATATAAAAAATGTGCGGCTTTACAAGAATTAACTGTCAACTTATGACAATGATTAACGGTGATATTATTCAGAATATACAATATGGTGTTTCCTATTACACCTGCATTGAACCAAGTTTATCGTAGTTCGTTGTTCAAACCAGATATGTTGTTGACAAAACACATCAAGGATGAATGATACAAAGGTGAACGATTGCTACAGGGTAATTTTTTTAGGAAATATTAAAACATCCACGAGCCGCTTACAGAAGAACGCCGCGTCGGCAGCGCATGTCCAAAGCTGGGGGATTGCCACATAATAACTTGTCTATTATTGGAACTAGACACATCAGCGTCTCTCGGCAAAAAAAGAAACAACTCTGTTCTCTTGAGTAAATGACAAGAATATACAAGCGGGGTATTTTTGACGGTTTATCAAGAGTGTCGCTTTGAGAACGTGAAGAAACAAGCCATTTTGTGACCATGGGCTGGAAAACAATGAAAATTCCGCGGTGAGTTATTGAAATGACTTGCTTGGTTGTTTAAGTGAAAGGAAAGCAAATACTGAAAAAATCTGCCATTCTGAAACGTCGTAATGATTATGAAGAAACGCTTTGCCATGGAGGACAGCAACTCAAATAGTGACATATTGGACGAGAAATAATATTAGCTCCTTTCCGCCCCCTGTCCTGGAACTGTTTTAAAACACAAGGTGAGGTTTACTTCTAGGATACAACAGTAGGATTGCCGAAAAGATGACCAGACACTTCTCATTGGCATGAGCGGTATTTCGATGTTAAATTTATTCCTAGGAGATAAGTGATATATTAAACAAAATTATTTATTATTTGATACAAAGATTTGACCATTGTTGTGAGGGTATAAATTCCTGTGGACTTTGATTTCTATCTACAAATGCACATTTCACTGATTGAAATGAAATAAGGGTATCAAGAGTTTTGATGGCTTCTTTTGTTGCTCTGACAAGACAATAAATAATGCGCCCGATATGATAGCATATGACTGAAACATCAATTAGGCCTATAAAGAGAGAGACGAATGAGACTGATTAGAACCGTACCGAGCGAGATCAAGCTTGGAACGAATTAGTTGCTGAAGTGCTTCGTCTCAGAAGTCTTTGTAACTATCGCATGCCGTAAAAGCAAAAAGTGAATCCTTCAAATTATGGACTTCTGCATTACAGCATCAAGTAGAATTGCTTATTGGAAGTAAATACATGAGAAATGTAAACGATTTCCCACACCAGAGTCGCCAAAGGAGTTAAGTTCTAACTGAGTAAGAATTATTATAGCATGCAATGCCGTTTCACGATATTGGATATGCGAATGTTACAATTGATAGTGCTGTGTCGCGACCACTGCCGAGAAATGTGACTATTGCGATATTGGCCATCCTGGTCATTTTGTTAACAGTCTTCGGAAACAGCATCGTCATCATCAGCGTCGCAACGTTTGAACGACTTCGAACGAAGACGAACTACATCGTGTTATCGTTAGCGGTGGCGGATCTCCTGGTGGGGCTGTTCGTGATGACCCTGGCGTTGATCTATGAACTTTGTGGTCAGTGGCCGTTTAAGAGCGCTGTATGTTACATGTGGCTATCTATGGACATTATGTGTTGTACCAGCTCAATTCTACACATCTGCTTTATTGCAATAGACAGACATATAGCAATTGTTAAACCCTTGAAATACGGTATTCTTTTAAGCGAGAAAATGGTGGGAGCAATCCTGTTTAGCATATGGTGCCTGAGTTTTCTTCTTTCCTTTTTACCGCTCCAGTTAAAATTCACGGAGGAGGAAAACTACAGAGGACTTCAGATAAGAAATGAACAATGTTATTACATAACAAACAAGTTTTATTCACTGGTTATATCAATGTTGACTTTCTATTTCCCGTTCTCTTTAATGAGTTTTGTTTACTGTCGAATCTTTAAGATCGCAAAGTACCAAGCCACGCGCATTCACGCTCAAAATATCGGCATCAGCGTGATTGAAACGGAGCAGAGTGTTAACGTGACTAATGATAATAACAGCGGTAACCACATCTCTCAGCCTGCGGCGACCAACAACAGCTCCATCCATAGAAAGGAATACAAAGCAGCGAGGACATTAGGGCTGATCATGGGCTGCTTTTTTGTTTGTTGGTTTCCGTTTTTTCTCATCCACACCATCCACCCGTTTATCCCTACGTTTATTATGCACGCGGAAATCCCCAAAGCCGCAATATGGCTAGGGTACTGCAATTCATGCCTTAACCCAATTATATATTCTTTTAATTCAGAGTTCAGAAAATCTTTTATGCAGTTGTTGTTAAAATGTAAATCCAAATGTAACTCATAGCAGTCTAAAATCACATATCCTGCTAATTAATAGGTGCAATACAAAATCAAACTTATAATGTTACGGTATTAAAAAACGAGGAATGAAAGGCTGATATTAAACTTTCAACAGTTAAAATCGTTACCTGAGTTTTTTTATTCAGAGAAGGGGAGGATTTTCTACATGCATAAAGTAATCATCTTATTCATCAATATTCAACCGAAGATAATTTCAACAATGTGGTTTTGTCAATAAAATTATAAAGTGAACAAGGAATACTATAAGCCAATCTTCCTAAATTCTCAAAAGAAAAAAAGAAGCAATTTTTTAAATGCAAGAGAAAAAAAAACATTTGGAATGAAAACAAACTTGCTTTGGGGCTTGTATGGTGTGGATAGTAGGTACGACTAGTTGTCACTTAAGCACTCGTGTGTTTACAAATGCGTTAACAAAATTGCATCCACACGTATATATATATATATATATATATATATATATTTTTTTTTTTGTTGTTGTTTTATTATTTTTCAAATTTCACAAACTAACAGCTACTTCAGTGGTCGTCATATATACATGTTTATATAGAGTACAAAACTTAAAAATCTGAAATTGATGAATTGACTGATTCCAGTAAACACTTCAACGCCTGGCAATTAATGTATTGAAGATCCAGTGCAAAGTATCTATCAACAGTTAATAATAAGCTATTGTCTTTATTTCTTGTATTTCATTTTTATTTTTGCGTGAATATCAGTTGTGGGGAGAGTGGAGGGGGTTGAAAGCACAATAACATGTAAACTTACCTACTTACTGGAAGATAATCAGGAGAGGACTGCGTGCACGTTATTCCGTCAGAATAGAATGTTATTGAACGCATGAATTACCCGCATAAAACCCTGGTAGATGATACATAACCAAGACATCAGCAAAAAAAAAAAAAAAAAGAAAAAAAAGGAAATCGTGCATATATCCGCCAAGTGGACGTAATGCAGTAATTCTATACGTAGCCATTATCTACTTAATGACATAGAAATGCATCAGCGAAGCGTGGCCAGCTCAAGTAATTCTTATCTAGGCTTATCAGTTCAGTAGACCAAAAATGACAGATTACTGGTTTCAATTTTCCGTAGAAAAAAAGAAAAAAAAATTTGTTCTGTCTGAGGACTGTTAACGTCCATCAGGCCAGAAATCAACAACAGGGTTTTTTTTAAAAAGAATTATATCTATGTACTATAAGAGGACCTTCTCCATATATGTTCTTGTTCAAACTTGGCTTGTCTGTAATTTTGGATATATTGAATAAAAGCGGAGAGCTTCAAATGAAAAAAAAAACTATAATTGGTAATGAATACACATGCCTAGCAGCCAATAGGTGGTTGTATAGACCATGGAGTTCCAACAGAGACTCCTTGTATAGACACAACAGAAAAGATGGAAGTTAATCATGATTTAAACGTGGATGTATAGATACACAACTGGTGTAATTTAATCCTGATTTGAACTAGACCAAAAAAAAAAATAATAATAATAATAATAATAAAAATTGTCCCGACTGTCAGGTCCACTGAAGCCTCCAGACTCACATTAATAATCACAATCTGCACAAATCTGTTCAAATCTGCAGTCTCTTGTCTTTCCAATCATTCTAGTTGTATCAATTTGTCAATTTTATCATAACAGTAAACCTTGGCGGCTGATAAGCTCAATCTGAGTTGCATGATCGAATGAGATAAAACCGGGAAATTGGTCTTTATTTGTTCCATAATCAGACACGATATATAATATGTTATCAACTAGAAAATAATTAGACGATATTTCACTGAAATAAAATCACCTCCGGTGAGGGGTGGTGTTGGTAAGATTTAAGAAGATTGCCACCAAAGATAAAAAAAGGGGGGGGGGGGGGGGGGTAAGAGGGGGGGGGGGGGCAGGGGCGGATCCAGGATTATTTGAAGGGGGGTCCGCAGATGTAAAGCCAACCCAAAATACTAATTTCAAGAGGGTACCAGAAATCGAAGGAACCCCCTGACCCCCTCTCTAAATCCGCCATTGGGGGGCGTACTATATTTTCAGGATATTAGCCAATCGTCTGTCCACCGATCCCGTCGCCTGTCGTCGTCTTTCTGTTTTGCTTTCCTTATTTTCACAGTGCTTAGTAATCACACTGAATACACCTCCACACCTGGTAATGTGAAAGTCACCGGAAAGTGAAAGTGATAGTGAAACGATCGACTCAGCGTTCGAACGTGGAGCCTGCACTGTGTTGGTGGAGTGGGGGGGGGGGGGGTGTGAAGAGAGCGAGTTCTTCAATCTTTCTTAACACCACCCCATTCCTACAAACACACACACGCACACGCACACATTTTATCATGCAGTCATGGACCCGGGACAAGTCAAATTGTTTTTTTTTATCCCGCTTCTCCACATGCCGAGTTGTTATATTCCTGTGTCGTGTTCCACCCCAGCTTGTGGCCCCGTGCCTCAGCACGCGGAATGACGTGGTTTGACCCAGGAAGTAGACATGACCTAGTTTCACATGTGAGGGGGTTGGGCACGAGTAGGCAGGGTAGTGTGGACGTGTTTTATTCTCACACTGACCCCGAGAGCTTCACACTGGGGTGGTACAGGAAAAGTGAGTAGCTTGAATTTATGTAACACACAAGTTTGTGAACAGTTAAATATTTGACGAGAGAAAGAGAGAGAGAGGGAGAGAGAGAGTTTGTTAAGTGTGTACCGCGATGCAAAAATAATCCAGTTATCCAAAAGTTATGGGAATGAAGGCGTCAGGGAGAGCGTTTTAGAATGAACTTTTATTAGACCTTTAGTATTATGTATTATACAGAGGAAGAATGAAAAAGAAAGATCTGTATATTCAGTATCTATAGTACCGGGTATGTTATATTGTGTTTTCAGCAGTCGATATTTTTGGTCTTGTTTGCAGGGTGGAGGCTCGGTGTGAACTCTATAAGGATGAGATGAAGTATTCACTGCCATGGCTGTCACTGACCATATATCTGCTTCTTACAGACGTATGTATGAATATTCACTTCTTATCTGTAGAGGTAGTTAGATATAAAGTTAATAGATAAATAAATAATTACAGAAAAATTAAGGACAAACAATAAACAAAGTTGAGTCTTATTTTCTTGTAGGATGAATTCTGATTTTGAAATTGTATGTTTCAACAGAACTCTTTTATAAAACCAGTCTTGTTGTTTGTGTTGTAATATCTGGGTCCTTTGATATTGTTATAAAACCAGTCTTGTTGTTTGTGTTGTAATATCTGGGTCCTTTGATATTGTTATAAAACCAGTCTTGTTGTTTGTGTTGTAATATCTGGGTCCTTTGATATTTACCTAAAACATAAATTCACATAAAGCATTGAATAAACTAACATTTGAACAAGTATAAAATCTAATCCTTTACTGATTGTCAAATAAACAACATGTACAGCAGCTAGAGCAGCACTACCCTGGTATAATATCATAAAGATTGGCAACCACAAAGTCAGCATCCTAGTTTATATATATCATGTATAATCATAATGTGAGAATAACTGACTGAATATATGTAATCCATGTATACGTACTTGTTATGTTGTAAGTAAAAATCTCTGATAATTTCTTTTTTTTTTCTTCTATAAATATATATCTTTAATTTTGCATTTATGAATGTTTTTGTGTATTCTATTGTTAGGAAACCAAAGTATATAAATACCAAAAATTAGAAATAGTGGAATAATAATAAAAAAGGCAAAACAATGAAAAAATAAAAGATTCAAATTATATATTTTATTTATTCTGACTGTGATTGTTAGATTATCTTGAATTGGTCTTTTTACTTTCCATTTGTATTTTTGTTATCAGTTGCTTAGCAGAGTAGTGTACTGTGAATCAAAGGATGGATTATACTTTTATTTTTTGACCCAGATGTTCTGTCAATTTCAACATAGTTTAGCTAACCACCTGGCTTCTCTTTCCACTGAGTGTTTTTATAACATTTTACTTTAAATAATTTTGATAGGAGTTATTGAAGTCAGCTTTAGTTACCTTCTCAATGTTTATTTTATAGCTCTGTAATGTAAACTTCATTCTGCAGCATATAATGTACTTTTATTTGTAAAGAGTGAGCACTGTTCATACTGTGATACCTGCATCACACCAGATTTCACAACTCATTGGTCACAAGACCCGGTGGTGGTGGTGGTGGTGGTGGTGGTGGTGGTAGTGGTGGTGGTGTTATATAGTGGTAACTTTTATATAGTAAATAAAGACCAAAATAAACAATTTCCTTTTAATTTAGTATTTTTCTTTCAGTTTTTTCCCTTAAAGCATTGTTTGCTCCTAAAGATTTTCTGTGACATTGTGCCAGGATAATTAGTAGAATAATGATAAAAAATAACAGGAAAAATGAGAAGTAATGATAAGGGGGATTAAAGGTCTTATCCTACTGAACAAATTAACTTCTTGAGTCCTTGTTTAAGTCTTTCTCAAAAGGGAAGGAGGAAGTAGATCAGCATGAAACAATAAGCAATTTATTTCACAGTGCGTAGTAGCAAACAGAAACCACTTCAGAGCTCACTACAAACATTACCATATCTTTTTCATTTACATTAGATATCAGACAAATATAATTTCATGTCAAACCTTATAACATCAGTCTCTGAGCATCACCAGTAAAGAAATACATGTAGCCCAATCCCCCTTTTATAGGTGCTGAAGACAGAGGGGGGGGGGGGACTAACTAGTCTATATGGCTGACCCACTTGAATACTTCTCCACGGGATATCTATTCGGTGTCTATTAGCGAATTAGACAGCAAGCTTTGTGGTGGGTGGCCATATTTGACCCTCAGATTAGTAAGTCCTGTATTCTGAATGGGGCCTGAACCGTGCGTAGGCATGTGCACACTGATGTACAAGGAAGTATAATATTTGTTTGATGACTTTGGAGGACTGTGTGAGCTGAGACTTCCCACGTGGGGGAATTAGCACAGTTTGGAAAGACCTAAATTGTCAAACTTTTAAACTTCACCACAGTTTTCAGAAACAGATCCTTAATTTGTATATGTACTTTAGATAATTACATTTCAGTTTGTTCATTAAATTATGGTAAAATAACTTAATTATTAGGATAAAAGAGAAAGTAATAGTATCCAAGAAGCATCAGGTCACATTTTAATGATTAAGTACCAGAAAGCATTTTGTGTTACTGTTCGATTTACATGTACCTCTTTGGAGTTTTATGAATTCATTGCGGTGTCAGTTTCATTTGCATTTTAATGAATTTCCAAGAAATGCAGAAATTAACTTCCCTGTTTGACAGATTTTTTTATTTGTGACATAGCATCTTTTTCTCAAAGTGACATAAAACAACTGCATAGATGAAATTTAGTAAGTTGAGTTGAGTAAGTTCAGTAAGTTCAGTTTATTTGGCAGCATATTGTGAGGAGGTTTCTCCTCTAGTACCTACAAACTAAGCTATGTGATCAGGATAGTGCTGCCATCTATATTTCAGGATGGTACTCCAGTAAGGCCAGGAGAGAGAGGGAAGAGAACCAGGGCTGCATGTTCTAATTAGTGAGTAAACCTGTACTATTACTGGGTTCCCATCCCTAGATTGATCTAACAAGATCGATCCATCTCCATGGGGTCCTTCGCTAAATTGCTTTCAGTCCAAGCGGCTTAGACATCTGGGACGCTCACTAAAGTTGCTAAACGATAGTTCATTAACCCCCTATCAGCCTCAGCAGGCATGACAGACATCAAAGCCACTCAAGTTAATTGCAGTTAAGTGAGAATCCCCTCGAAGATAGTTCGATCCAAAGTTAGTGGATATAGTCTCTGGAAATGGTCTCTATTTGTTTCTGTTGACAAAGTCAGAGTGCTAACAGCCTTACAGTAGATATCATTAAATCAGAAAATAAAAGGTCTTCCAAATTTAACTCTGGCTGTGTTACTTTAAGGAAAACTTGAGTTGAACAAAGCTAATGCAATTCTTTACCGGGTATTATTTTTCAGTTTTTATGAAGATATTCACAAGAAGTGCACTTTGTGTGAGCTTTGTGGAGCACGTGATATTTTGGCAGGCAGTTCCAGTCCTAACATTGTAGACCATGGTTGTACAGGTCCCTCTTCATCTCCACAGTGGTGTAAAGCAGAGACAGGGACCAAGCCAAGTTAGTCTATAATAACAATAGAGAAAGAAGCAATAGTGCCTGAAAGCTGTATAGGGCATAGGCAGAACACATAAACATAAATATGTAGCATTGATAACACTGTTTGCAAAACATTGTTGAATTTTTTGATGTTATAGTCTTCTTTCAGTTTATTTTCTCGTCCATTTTCATCTGGTGTTCATACTTGAATATACTTAACTTTTATGATGTTTTCCCTTTCAAGTTTGCACAAAACTCAAAGATGTCCCCAATGGCAGCATAGAGTGCAGACAGGAGAGAGAGGACCTGATTTTACCTGGAACTGTGTGTACTTTGACATGTGACCCAGGGTACAGGCCAGTCCAGAACAACCTCACCACACAGTGCTCCATACAGTCCTCTCAAAGGAGCGTGGAGGCTGCTTGGAGCAGAACATTGCCAGAATGTGTCTGTGAGTGTCAACTGAAAGATGTCATACATGTGATTTAACAGCTAGTCTCAATTATAGCTTTACTCACACATGTGCAATGTAGGTGTTCATTTTGTGGCTCTCTCCTCTGGAATTTGCCAGTGTGATTTGCTTCATGGTGTGTATCAAAAGCTGCACACATTTTAACATATGAAGTCCATCTGATCAATTTGTGGTTGTTGTTTTTTCTGTAGTAATCCCTGTGACAGAGGCAGTGTCAACCACAGAAAAAGCACCAATGGCCAGTACTACTACTGCTATGGTACAAAGTGATGAAATAGGGTTTAATACCAAGACATCCCAACCTTTAAGGTTGAGTGGTAAGTGTATTAATATCTTTCACAACAGAAATTAAAATGTATATTTTGATAACCAGCATATACTTCAGCATAGTTTTTGTTTTGTCAGGTCATGCCTTTGATTTTATCTATATCCTCCTTCATCTTGTTGAATAACAGCCTTTTTCATCTCTCTAGCACTGTAAATGTAATCTTCAATGTTTAAACAATATGTAAATTTTAACACTTTGTTATGAAAATAATTTCATAAGCTCTCAAAAAAGAATTTAAAGAAATGAGATATTTTAAGCTCATATCTATTTTACTTTCAGATTTTTGGTTTATCATCCCAATTTCAGTATTACTACTAGTAGTAATAGTACTACCAGCTGTAGTAATAATGAAGAAATATGACTGTCTAAAAAACTGCCCATTAAAAAAATCTGAATTAACTGAAGTCATAGTGATTCATGACTGTGACCCAGATGTGATATGTCATGGTAATAGTGGCAACCAATCTGATACTGGTAAGTTTTGGTATTTTTTGAGGAGCTTTTAAGTCCCACATAGACAGTAAAAAAAGAACTCAATTATAAAGAGCTAATTTTTTAGAGTGAAGGATTCAGAAATTGGACACACAAATTTCTACATCTTTAGATAGATGCACACCCATTATTTTCCATAGGAAAATATTTGAGGTGATCACTACTGCTATATTAAAATGTCCTTACAGCATTTAGGATGAGAGGGAGGGGTTGGGCAAAAATATTTTTGGGGTTCCTGGATCGACCAGTGAGCTTGCTGTTTAATGTTTAAGTCAAGTTGTCTGTGTTAGTAATAATTAAAATGGCATTGCTCAAACTGTTGTTTGTTAAACACCTGAAATAAAGTAAATGTTTGCATACCATCTGCATATTATTAAAGCCTTAAGTTGAACATTCATAAATGAAATAATGTTCAAATGTCATTTCTGGTGCTTTTTGGTATTATTAATGTTATCAATTTAATTAAAGGTGAAGTGTATTTTTTTACCCTTTTTGCAAGATTTAAAGATTTTTGTGACTCAAGCAAAATAAATAAATAAATAAATAATTTTAAAAAATGAAATACTAATTATAATAATAATAATCATGAATGATCCCTCAAATTTTAAGTGACTTGACATTTGTATGGTTTTGGTTACATTAAAGGTTCCTGCAGCAAAGAGGCCAGGAAAGTGGATAATAAAGCTGGTAGCAGTGGGAGTGAAAGTGAAAGTGAAAGTAATGATTCTGGGTTAAGCTCAGACCTCAGTCATCAAGGTGAGTATTTACATTTATCTTACACTTTGATTTATATGAATGTTGTAGTATTCATAAAATATATTGGAACATGACATATCTAAGACCCCATTCCCATGCCTCGATCGATCTGGCTAGATCAGTCCATCTCTGATGGGATACTTGCTTAAGCGGCTTAGATATCTGGCATGCCTACTGAAACTCCTAAAGGATAGTTTATTACCCCCTTACAGCTTAAGCAGAGTGCAATTTAGCAAGAATCCCCTTGGAGATGGACCGATCCCGCCAGATCGATCTAGGTATGGGAATGGGTCTAAGTTGTATGATTGTGATGACTCACCAACTTTACTCTATTTTGAAACAAACAAATTGATTGAGAAGTAGTTTTAAAATATTCCAAATTATACAAGTATGAACTTTGGTTTCAGTCAACCTGTTGTTTTTGCTGATCTCAGAGGGTGATATTGACCAAAGGTGCACCTCCCACTTCCCTCTCCCTCATTCTCTCTGTCACCTGAGGGGAAGTCAAACACTCTTCACCAATTTGTTTTTCACATTTGTCACTGACCTCCCACCCTTAGCAAAGTCTTGCATCTGCCAATGAAAATTGTACACAAATTGTATTTTTAATTTAATTATATGATGTCAGTACGAATCTTTACTTGTAGATCAGCGGACACCCATGGAACATGATGAAATTGGCACTATACCTGCATCTCCCCCAGAGCAAGATGATTGGACAGAAGATGACGAGGACTTATTTAATTTCCTTGACAACCTAGGGTCTCTTAGCAACAGTAGAACATCAGTGGATGTCAAGTATCCAGTGGAAGAGGGCTTCTGTCCAGGTGGTGGTAGATACCAGGCCAGAAATCCAATAGAACACTCTTTTTATTCTTCTCAGGTAATTGTGAAAATCATATAGGTTATTTTATCTTTTTTATGAAAAAAATGTTTATACACACAATCATACACATTTTGTTCACATAGATTATATAAATTGTATACCTACTCTGAAATACTACTACTACTGCTGCTACTACTACTACTACTACTACTACTACTACTACTACTACTACTACTACAGGTGTCTGCTGGTGCTGTGAGTAGTTTCCCAAGCAGACAACCACTGAGGAAGGAGGGTCATGGTGTTCTGGAATCCTTGGACCCTCTGAGTAATTTACCAAGCAGACAACCACCCTCAGGGAACAGCCATCCATCTGGTAGGAGACACTGCCTTGAACTGTTGTGTTTACTTATCTGTTACCAGTCTGTTAATAGACATGTATTCACTGGATATATTGAAAAAACTAGTATCTGTATTAATAGATCTGAGGATCTTGCAGAAAATAGCAGCAAGTTTTATCAGAGTAGAACTAATTGATGCATTTTTGTGACTTTTTTGTGCTTTTTTCTATTTTGCACAATTATATTGAACAATACATACATCTTTTATGTTTTGAAAATTTTTCATGAATAAAAAACACAAAAAAAGATTAAATTCTTCAAATATTTTTTAAAAGCAGAATTTCCTATTGATGAAGATGATGAAACCACTCTGCTAAAGAAGGCCCATAACAGTGATGGAACAACTAAAAGTAAGATTTTTATGTATACCCTGTAAGTCACACATGGACATACTAAATGTAGGTACTTACTAGTAAAATTATTTGTTTCTTTTATATTGAGACACCGTCTGCCACTATTCTGTGACTATTCTATTCTGTTTTATTTTTAATTTACTGTGTAACATTGTTCTGTTAAAGAATGGTACCTTTTAAAAATCAGCATGAGCAGCTTATTATAGCAAAATTCATAGTTTTTTTATGTTTTTGCATATATTTTGGTGATACTCAAGTGCCCAATCATATTTTTGTTTTATTTTAGATTTTCAGTGCCTCTTTGTATGGTAATAAAGCAGATTCCTTTTGAAAATTGGCATGAACAGATTTCTTTTATGAAAGTGATGGATTTTAAAAAATGATTTTTGAAATCTTTTTTGCTGTTTGANAATCATATTTTTGTTTTATTTTAGATTTTCAGTGCCTCTTTGTATGGTAATAAAGCAGATTCCTTTTGAAAATTGGCATGAACAGATTTCTTTTATGAAAGTGATGGATTTTAAAAAATGATTTTTGAAATCTTTTTTGCTGTTTAACGTGTGTATATTTGCCAGCTTTGCTGTCTCATTATCTTTAACAGCTGTTTTGTGTTAACACTAGTGTCAAATGTACCAGTACATCCGCAAGATATTTTGAATAATATTACAATAATACATGTTAATTGAATTATTGCAGTGATTGCTGCTGTTGCTGTAATTTAAACTTGGTTTGTAGCTGTAGGGCCAGTGTTATCAACATTTGGTGGGACTTGCTTGTAGTTTAATGGGAATTAAAGTGGATAAATTATTTTTCAGATAAAATTGCTCTGGAGACCCTAACTCAGCCTGTTGAGCTACTCTCACTGCTTGAGAAGGAATATGGTGATGAAGATGCCGAAGATGGAATTAATAAGACAGTTGATGAAGGTGATGATGAAGACAGCTGACTTCATGCACATTAATGTAGCACAGTGTCTGACCAGCTGTTTAATTGAGGGAATTAAGACCACACATTTGCAGTCCATGAACTACTTATTCATTTGAAGAGTCAGTTTATGTGAGAATTGTGAAGTTCTGTGTTTTGACCTGGTGTTGGCCAAATCTAGATTTGAACCAATTATCAAGTTGGCCTTAAGTGCTGAAGAAAAAAGAATAAAATACAGGAACACTTGCCATCAGGCTGAATGTGGTATTGCTCAACTATTACTTTACTATTACTCAACTATTATGCTTATATTATAAATTTTATACTTACCTCTGATGTATTGGAGAAATAGCTATTAGCTTTTTTTGGCACAAAAGCACACAGTGATCTGCCTTTAAATTTTCAGTTATTGAAATGCTTATATATTTTTGCATATGCACAAACATGCACACACACACACACACACACACACACACACACATACGTAACAGTTAAGTGATCTCACATTTTTACTGCATTTTAAGGTCCAATTCAGTTCAAACAATAATCAATATGCTGTAATACTAATATCTTCCATATATTATATTATATTATATTATATTATATTATATTATATTATATTATTATATTATATTATATATTATTAAATTCATATATTGTTGGATTTTGTGCTGGCACTTTTCTACATGTGAATTGAATGTCATATGTTTTAATGATGGATATGTAAGATACAATGTATCATGCAGTACTTACAAAGTGGAAAAAATTACGTTGGTGGAAAATTCCGAGCAAATTTTCAAGACCAAAGAAATTTTCAAGTTTTTACTGTACATGTACCAGTACCTCGAGTTTCAGACCCAACGCAGCAGGCTGCTTTATATTTAAGTGTTGCCACATGTCAACTAACTGATAGTTACATACACAGGTAATTGAAGATACCAGTAAAGCTGTTATAATTAAGCTCTGAAACCCAGGGAAAAAGTTAGTACAGCGGGGAGGGAGGTATGTATGTATATATAGGTACATTGTGTACCTCAAATAGCCTGAGCACAGTATGGAAGTCCTCAGAGTTTAATACCATTCTGTGTTATTTCTGGCTTTATTTATTTTGTCTCATATTGCTGAATATCCTGTCTGCTGGGCAGACCATTTTTATAATGTTTTATAATTTTGTTAAGGCATGATGTTGTAATATTTGGTAACATGTGCCCTTCGCTTAATTATATTCAAGTGTTTTATTGTAAGGTTATATTGCATTCATTTTTCTTGTTTCAAGTGCCTTAAATGGATTAATAAAGATATTCAATATTTTCAGTTGTTTGTTTTTCATGTTAGTCAGCTCTGCTGTCTTAATAAACATACAGATTGGAGATAAAAAGAAATATAATATTTGCTACTTGCTTAAAGCTTACAGTTATTTTATTTTAATTTTTTGATTTTTTTTTCTTNCGGACAGGCCACCTGACAGTTTAGCTGCTTCGTGTGAGTTGAAGTTGACAAAATGGCATCGTCCGAAATGACCTTTAATAGATTTGGTAGTATTAAGCATATCTTTGCATCATTTTTTAAACATTTCTTTGAAGTGTTCAAAATGCTTTAATATTCTGAGAATACAAATAAAGACACACTGTTTGATTGATATTTGTTTTATTGATTGCTATACCAAATGAATGCAAGAAATAACCTTAAATAGATTTAGTAATATGAAGTATATCAATTCATGACTTTTTTTACATTTCTACGAAGTATTCACAATGCTTTAATATTTTGAGAGCATGGATAAAGACATATTGTTAGTTTGATACGTGTTTCTGTGGTTAAATTTGCGTTTCCAGCTGTGTACTGACAGCATTCCTTTACTTAAGCAGTATTTTTTTTTTGGACTGTTTTTATTTTTTTCGCCCTCTCGCACCGATTTTGGGGTACCCAGAGGATGTCATCCATAAAAATAAAAAAGTGTGGCCTTAGTCAGCTCTGCTGTCTTAATAAACATACAGATTGGAGATAAAAAGAAATATAATATTTGCTACTTGCTTAAAGCTTACAGTTATTTTATTTTAATTTTTTAATTTTTTTTTTCTTGAATTTTTAAATAGATTTTGTTTTTTTTTTGTTTCATTGTATGTTTCAAATATAGTAATTGCAATATATTAAACTTGGCTGGAGCACCATTTCTAATACCTGGGAATCTCTGTAGCACCATTTCTAATACCTGGGAATCTCTGTAGCACCATTTCTAATACCTGGGAATCTCTGTAGCACCTTTTCTAATACCTGGGAATCTCTGTAGCACCTTTTCTAATACGTGTACTTTTGTAGCCTGAAGTGAAAAATAGTGTTGTCAGTATATTTCTCATTTTATTTTTATGTAAAGACTGAATGTCTTTAAAAGCTACAGAAATACAGATCAAGGCACTGGATTCCTAGATTTTGCACAAAATTTAATAAAAGATTTTGCTGTAATTTCTTCTTTCTTTTTACGGCTATTAACCCCTGTCTACTTTTGCTGTTATTCAAACAGTTGCGACACACTTATGTCTGTCCATTTGACAGAATCGTTGCGAGAATCGTTCTTCAAAAAACGACACTGGTTTCTGGGCATCAGAATCGTTTTTTAAAAATTCAATAAAATTAAAAATTTTATTTCAAACTACAAAGGTAGGCCCCGGGGACCCTCTCCCCCCTCTTCACCCTCACACTTACCCCCCCCCCCCCCC